TAGGTATTGCAAATGACATTGCAATTCATTCTGCAACGTAAAACGGGGGCGTGAGAGTTCTTTTTATAAAAACTGAACTGGCAGCTTTGTGAAGAATTAAAAACGTGAGTATCTAAACCTTCTGTTATGGATCAAGGGAATCTGGGATTTGGGTAGAGATGACAGAAATCTAGAGAGTGCACTTAGACCTGTCCACCGGCATCTACAGGACATTTTCACCTGCTAGGGATGGAAAAGAAGGTGATTGCGGATGAAACCTAATTGGATCTACTCTAAAGAATAGCAAAACGAATGGTGCTGTCCTTATACCAAAAGATGAGTGAGTACATCTGGGTGTGTTCTTATACCTGTATAAGCTAAGCGTTTATCAATTTTCATGACTCCCTTCTTATAACTGATTTAAAAGAAAGATCTTTGAGGTCTCGGCTGAGTCCGATATAACTGCATCATATGCAGTAGGAGTAATAACCATGTGATAAGTTCAGTGGCTGCCATCTGTAAAGTTTCATTAGGTAACATACACAAGTTATAATTAGACTGTAATATTAATTTACCATTAATATGCCATTCCAGGCTAACAGCTTTCTTTATATGCCATCTCCCGCTCCCCCCATTAACATTCATGACACTGGTGACCCTAGGCTGGACCCACAAGGGTCCCAATGGGACCTGAGGTCATGGCGGGAGACAGACAGGTACTCCATGCAGAGAGAGTTTGGGTATAAAGTTTATTTAGTGGGTTATGGAGGGTAGGCAGATTACATACACACACACACACACACACACACACACACACACACACACACACACACACACACACGGCTCTTCATTTGGGAAGTTTAGTAGGAGATCCACTATCAGTGCCAGGGTGTTTCTGCTGTAGTCTCATTTCCGGGAAGCTCTCAGTTTTCTTCCTGTGTTCAGAGGCACCGCTTCTTTCCTGCTCAATGGGTGGAGACTCGGAGTTTTTGTTTACTCTGAAGTGCCGTCCAGAATGGAATTAGAGCAGGGATTAGAGGCATCTGCTTAAGCATTCCTAGCAGGGAGGCTTGAGTAAACAGCACTGGTATCAAGCTCGCTCATCGGCCAATGGGTTCCTCCCAGGCCTCTGCAGAAGTGCTTCTTGTTTTGGAGCTCACCTAGGTGACACTTCCTGTTGGCTCCACCCTCCTTCCTGTGAGTCTTTCGGTGGTTTTCCTTCTGCTCCACATCTCCTCTGGGAGGTTCCAGGGTTTACTGGGAAAGAGGACTAATCATGAATCAAGCATTAACTAATTGATTACTTAAGAAAGCTAATCATGTCCATGATTAGCCCTACATATTAAGAGGTTAAAGTTCAGCCACTGAAGATAGGACCTCATAAGGTGTGATTCAGGGGGAGGAACTCCAGTTAAGACACAAACCGTGTGGAAACCATACTAAAGCTGTAATTTCAGGAGCGGGGGAAGAGGCAAGAGAAAATCAAAATGATTCTTTAACCGTTTGTCATATTATTTAAGAAATATCCAGGGATGCATACAATGAATCAAATGTAAATAAGAGACTTAATGGGAACAATAGAAAAGACATTTATTAATTTTGAAACTCAGCATTCATTAATAAATAGGAAACATTAAAAAGAACAGATTGGGATAGTTTTTAAAGGAAGATATTGGTATTTATTGCTATTCACCATTACAAGAAATGGATGATAATATTTTAACTCCATTAAATTTGATCCACCACGCTTACTTCATGGTGTGAAGAAAAACAGCACTTGAATGATTTTTCTCTTAATTTGTTCTAAATTACAGCAAAGTGCTTTGCAAGAAGCAAGTGCTTGTGTTAATTAACTCTGAGTAGAGAAGGTCACTGGCATACGTGGGGCTCAATTTGTGGCTTTAGTGAGATATTCTCTTCTGCAATTAGAATTCCTCACCAGGAATTAAAGGCCTGTGTGGATTTTCATTTCTTTATCTAGCACTTCATGTTTGGGCACCTTTGTTGACTCTTTAAAGACAATGAAAATGCAATAGCAGTAATGAGATGGACTTAGGAGATGAAACACACGTTCCCCGTGTTTATTTACAACATGCCTACAGCACTGGCATTTTCCTTTGAGCTGAATCTGTAAAGCCACGTTCAGAAGGCTTAACAGGGCTTTGTGACATAAGCAATTGACAAGTCTAAATTTTGGTTATCTTATGTTGAATTGTAAGACCGTACACAAACATCAATGCCATTCAGTCTGATAAATCACCCTCCAGGAGCCTCAGAGTTCCATTGGAAATGGAATTTACGTAGTTCTAAAATACACGGAACTTTTAAATGTTCTTTCTAATTTTACTTACCTTTAGTTTCTTAGGATGTGTGTTGCTATTTTTATGGCTATAAAATTATGAACACTACAGCATATTTCATGTTGGTCATGCAACACATGACATGATATAGATGTTAAACTGAGATTTTTCATGTGAGGTCATATTTGAAGGCTAGGCACTTGCCTCTTCTGACTCACTCCAGTATCAACTATAAATCACTCTAGAAAAAAGTGACGTTAAATGGATTTAACCACAATGTCAAGATAATTATATATGTCATTCCTGTGATTGTCATTTGTCCTGGATATTCAGAAGTTACCATATACGAATTTGGCCATTTCAAAGAGATAAAGAGATGTCAAGACTAAACATTCATCTAAAGAGATCGTTCAAGTGTGGCTCTTCCAATGAGAAGAGTCATCAATTTCGAATCGGAAGGACTCAGGAGATTATTAACTGAAACAAATTCAAGACTTTCCAGTCCTTGGGAATCTATAAAGATACTCAGGCCAGTCACAGGAAAAATTGCATATATACATATTTGAATTTTAATTTCTAGTGGTCCCAATGTCTTACTGGGGTTTTTGTTTGTTTTACTTTTCATTTTATTGTTGTTGAGAGAGAGAACATGATAGTGGGTGGGGAAGGAAAAGGGGAGGAGCTGGGAAGAGTTGGGGGAGGAGAATGAATATGATCAAAATATACCATATGTAAAATGCTTTTAAATTAAAGAAGAAAATTAGATGTGTCCAGAAGACTTTAGAGTGTTGATAGTAGGAGAAGTGGGGTGCCTTAGTACTTACTTACCATATTGCAGTGTACATTTCTACCTCTGATTAAGATACTTATATAGTTTGTGTATTGATATATATTTACCATATTGCAATGTATATTTGTACATTGTTTATATTTGGAGGTCACTGTCCTCATTTGTTTCACAGTCATTATTGTCTTAGTCTTTAAGTTAGATAAATGTTGAGAATTATATAGATTAATAGTCATCTAAGTTTGTCATTTATAATTAGATTAATCAGGTTCTTTAGATATATAGAGATTATACTCAGTATAGATAGATAATCTTCAACTTCTTCAAAGAGCTGTAGAAAATGGCCTTTAATCTAACTCAGAGTTTTGTGGTAGTGAGACACAATTGCTTGCTCCTGGCAACACCGCTCTATTCCCGAGAGAATGTTGAGCACCAAAGACACTCCACCTGGAGCCTTTCTTTTTGGCAGAACTGGCCTTGGGGCAAAGAAATATACTTAGTACTTATTTCTGAAGTTTCAATGGAAATGGATGCATGATCTGTTTATGGGGACAGACTCTGCAGGTGAGGGTCACACGAAATGTCAAAAAGCAGAGCCTTGGCAAGTGGTGTCAGTTCTTTCAGCAAAACCGCTTTTGCAACGGCATACCTTTGCCACATGGTTATGTGTGACTATATACTTTCACTGGGAGGTTAACTGATTACAGCTTCATCAAAATGACTGAAATGAAAGGAATTTTAATTTTACTTGATAGATTTTTAAATTGAGTTTTTCTACCCTCTGGTTGGTTAAGACAATTATTCTTTTGAGTCAGAAATATACAACTGATACATAATGTAATGATTTTTACAAGGGAAGTCTTAAGATGTAGAAAAAGATGAAAGTAGATTGTCCCAGTGTGTCAGTTACTCAACAGAAGTAGCAAAGAGCCATGGCTAGGAGCTGTATTCACTGTTAATAGTCTACAGGGACTATTAACTTTGTGTTGTATTGCTAACGATCCCGGTTTGCTGTGCAGAAACACATTCATATTTTTTCTCAGAGCTCTCCCTTATGACTAGTGGCCACAGCACCAAGGCAGTTGACTGTACTGGTTGAAATGCATGCAGGCCAGCCTGGAGAAAGCCCATGTTTATCACAGGACTATACTTAATCTCCATAGTCACTGCTGTCTTCTGGGTATAGATCGCCTTTCTGGGGTAAAGTCTCATGAGCTTAGAGACCTCCCCGACTCGCTCACACCCAAGATTGACTCTAGAACAGAACATCTGTCTTAATAGGATGCTATTTATATGAGAAGTAACTTTTCAATCTTGATTATTGAGCCACTTTTATTTATCAGAAATTAATGAAGGAATATCATACCTGTGACTTTTTTTTAATTTACAGAAAGTAAACGTTAAAATTTTAATTTGTGTGTGGGCATGTAGAGGCAAGATGTTGACAATTAGGTATCTTTTCTGCATTAGTTTTTGAGACAAAGTCCATCACTGAACCTGAAATTCATCAATTTGGCCAGGATGCCTGGTAAATGAGCTTCAGGGATTCACCTGGTTTTGTTCTGCCCCACTCCAGAGCTGGGGTTACAGGTGTGCATGCATCCCACTCCTTCCCAGAGTTGGGGTTACAGGTGTTCACCCCTGCATCCCACCCCTTCCCAGAGCTGAGTTACAGGTGTGCACCCCTGCATCCCACCTCATCCCAGAGCTGGGGTTACAGGTGTGTACCCCTGCATCCCACCCTACCCCAGAGCTGGGGTCACAGTTGTGCACCACTGCACCTGGTCTTTATGTGGGTGATGGGGTTCTGAACTCAGGTCCTCGTAACTGCACAACAGGCACTTTACCAACTGAGCTACTTCCCAACCTCAGATATCATACTTTTAATCCTCATCAACCAGCCAATGGCATCAGCTGGTCCAACACAAAATAGAGATAGTCAAAACTGATAATTTATTTAAATGCACAAAGTGAACATATGATAATCGTATCTAGGTTACTACTGCAGAGTCATTTTAGTTAGTTTTTCCTCAACATCACTTCTCGTTTGGTTCTAATGGGAGTATAATTCAGATCTTCACTTTTTTTCTCTTTAGGTTTGAGTTGCATATTCTATATCTCCCAGTTAAGATGGTTATATATTATTTTATTACTTTAGTTTTAAATAAGGTCCATGAACGTTATTGATATTGAACTCTCATTGCAGTCATTTGAACTTACCTAGAGGATACCTTTAACACGGTAATCACTTAGCAAGGGAGGGTCTATGCCACATTGGTGCCGGGCCTCCTTAGCCTTATTTCCTGGGGAAAGGTGAGTGCACTCTCTGCCTGTTCTGCAGCCCCACGACGCAGGACAATCAGATGCAGGACAATCAGGCACAATAGGGGGTCAAGTTAAAGCAGGAACTCAGTTTATTACCTTGAGCATCTGCTTATATAGGTTAAGTGACATAGGGGCTGATGTGATGCAGGGGCCCCTCTAGCCAATGAGAGACAGCCAAGCCCTCCCTCTGGCTGTAGGGGCATCTACCTACATTTTGCTGTCTCATCCCCACTAGGTAGCTTTGAGACTATTCTTCAAACTTGAGCCAGGCTTTTCTTTGTCCTACAGGCCTCGAGGTACAGGCCCTGAGGTAATTTTGGCCCAACAATTGTAACTGCACGGTTGTTCCTGAGAGCGCCTGCATACCAAGATCTTTGTATTTAGGAGAAGGTGCTGTTTCTCCTGTGTTGCTTAAGAATCAAACCTAATAAAAATTAATGTCCTCCAAAGTATCAGCTGAGAGCCCAGAGCCTGGATGTTTAGATTCAGGACTTTCCCAAACCAGGCTATTAAAAATGATTGAATTAGAATCAAACAGAACGCTGATTCTTAGAAGCACCTTCCCCGCAAATAAAGTCAGAGCCCTGCCCCCTTTCTCTTTGAATGTTTTGAGTGAACTTACACGTCTGAATGTATACCAGACTGCCTTGAGAGTTCTCAATGCAGGATTCTTCTTAGTAGTTCTTGTCTTTCTAAATAATAACCCAGTGCCCCTTTGCAGAATGGGCCACAGTTAAAGGAAACGAATACATTAAACCTCATCTGCTTTGGTTAAAATTAAAAACCAGTGCTTGAAAAATAATTAAAACAGGGGCACAATTCACACTATCATGGCGTCTTGTTAAGGGGCAGCGCAGTCAGGACTCCCCTCGTGGCCGCCTTTGTTCTTTATAGCCAGAGCATTCCCTCACTTCATCCTCACTGGCTGTTCTTCTCGAGTTCGGAGATGTGGACGTTTTCTTCTAACTGTGCTGTGCTGAAGCTGAGTGTAGGGTAGTAGAGGCCCCGAGACCCTGTGAGTCTCTGGAAGAAGCCACTGTTCTGCTTGTAAACCCAGAAGCAGAGCTCAGCAAAGGCCAGGATGGCCAGCAGCGTCAGCGAGACGGCAAGAGTAACGATGCTGTGGTTCTGTCCTGGAGGGAGACAAAAGAAAAGGAGAGTAGATCCTGCCACACACCTGCTGCCTGTCTTATTGATTCTAAGGAACAGCTAAATATCCTCACTTCTTCCAAACCTACCTTTTCCTGGATGCTCCATTACTGCTGGAACATCTAAAATCAAATAAATAAAAAAAAAATTTCTTAAATTCAGTAAAGTTAGGTCATTACTGAGACAAAGCAGGAATCCAACTATGGCTCGTACATCAAATCTAGTGGCTGGTGTTGATGAATGATATTTCAAATGGAAATATCTGCAGTTTCAACTTTTTAAATGCTACCGTGGCGGGGCAGTATTAACCAGGGAAGAGTCAACGGGGAGACTCACCCTCTCCCTTCACACACCTGCCTCCATTTTACAGATAAACCCATTTTGGTCTTCGCATGGGGTAAACTGCCACACTCCTTCCAGGATCCTTAAGGCCACGCACGGACGGGGCTGTAGGGGGTCTACAGTTGGCTTCTGAACACCCCAGCTTGACCGGTCTGTGGGTGTTCCATCAAACCACCTCAAGGTTTCATCTGTGGAAAAACTGCTGACTTATTATGAATTATGTGCATGATTACCAGTCAAAGTCTGGGCTAAGCCATAAGAGCAGCCCCCAAATCTAAGGAGACACATTTAATTCCGTAAGTACGCTCATGAACAAAACACAAAAATAGGTATGTATCCATTAAGTTTGCCTCTATTTTTAGATACAGATGTCTTGTCTCTTAATGTCCTGGTTTGAGTTTTAAAAATAGGTCCACACTTCTAGTCAATTTAAATAAATCACACAGTAAATGAAATGAAATTAATTAATGTATAGAAAATCCCTCAAAAGCCTAACATCAACCCCACAACAAGAGGGCTTATTTCCTGAATCTGTCATTATCCTAGAAATGGTTCAGTGGGAAAGTTCAGCCTATAAGTGGTCAATGTGGTTTGTGTGTGTGTGGGGGGGGCACTGTCTGAAACGAATTTAAAACCAACAATAAAGCGAACTATAAGTCAGCTTGCTTTTGGTTATCACCAACTGCTAGAAATTCAAACCACATCCAGGATTAAAATACGCAAGGATGGTCTTTGTTCCCCTGCCTCCTCCACCAAGGTAACGCTCTCTCCGTGCCAATTACAAAAATTTTCTCTACAAGTACTTTTCAGTAACATCAGTTACATAAAGAAAAGGAGAGTGTGCCTCCTTACACACCCTGGTGTTTATGAGCAGCCTGTAAGAGTTCAAGAAGCGCAGTTAATCATTGAAATGGCTCCCTGACTCTGTTGGGCTTTGTAACACTTAAGAGAGTCAGTGTGGCCTTGCCATAAGGCTCAGGACAGAGTTGGAGCAAGCATCTTTATGATCAGTAGGAAGGGTTAACTTGTCATCTGTCTTGTTTGTTTGGGAGGGGGGTGGCTTTTGGATTCACGCTATACTTTCACAGCAAATGTGTCCAAGGAGAGTTTTGTGGCTCCCAGAGGCCTCAACGGCTCCGTATTTATTTACTTGTCCTCTCTGCCCACGTCACTTACTGTTACTATCAAACTGGGCATTCAACCAAACCATCTGGACAGAAGAACTAAAAGCACGAAGCTCTTCCTGGAGAAATAAATTTTCAGCCTCGTCCTTGATGGCTAGAAGATTAGATCCTGTAAAAGAGACGAACAGCCAATGAGCGAGGGAAGCGCGATTCACAAATGTCTCCGTGCCCTATCTTGTGAAGCCTGGGCTTTGAAACATCAACATTGCACGGCTCAATACATTTTCATTTTCCTCTCCGGTGCTGCGGCTGGTAGCCCAGGGCTTGCCATGTTAGGCAGTTGCTCTATCCCTGAGCTACAGCCCCAACTCTGTTGTTTCCATGGCTAAAAAGTGATTGAGCATGTGGGAAGATAGCTCAGTTGGTAAAGTGCCTGCTGAACAACCATGGAGACCCAGGTTTGAATCCTCAGGACTCAGGTGAAGAGCAGGATTGGGGAGGCAGGGACAGATCCCTGAGTCTTGCTGGCCAGGTTCAGGAGGAGATCATGTCTTGTCTCAAACATACCAGAAGAGTGATTGAGGAAGATCCTGGGTATAAGACATATACACACATGCCCCCCCCAACACACACACACACACATCATATACATACAAAAAATAAAGTGATTAAAAACAAAACAAAACAAACCCAACAAGTTCTCATTATGTAACCTGGTTGGCCTGGAACTCACTATGTAGACCAGGTTGCCCTTAAATTCATAAAGGTTTGTCTCTGCCTCCTGAGTATTAAGTGGCCTGTGCCACCACACCCACCTAAAATGTGATTTAAGCCTTTTTAAATTTTATTTCATTTAATTAACAATTTAAAATTTATTTTACATACTGACTAAGGCTTCCTCTCCCTCCTCTCCTCCCATTCTCTACGATTTAAGACTTTTAAGGTAAAACTACATTTATAAACATGTATACAAGCTTTCACTTAGAAAGCTAAAGTCCTGACGATCCAGCTTAGAGAACATTAAAGATTCATAGTACACGTGGCTTGAGAATGAAGAATTCTGGGGGGACGCTCTACCCTGAGGCACCATCTTGGGTTTCCAAAGTCTGCACTGGAACTTGAATTGCCTGTAATAGCTGCCCCCGTAACAAGCGGATTCCATGGTGTTTATTTTTTTTTTTTTCCAGTGGTTTTCATGGCTCCTAAAGTTACTGGATAATGAGCATTGGAGCAGGCTCACTGTTTACTGCGACGTCAAAGAGTCCATGACAGCGTTTAGTGCCACAGAAGAATTACCTTCTCTTTTGCAAAATTCATGAGCATCCTCAAAACTCCTGCTGTCCAGCACCGTAGAAAGACTGTAGCAATTACCTTTAAATTTTATCCAGGGAACCGATGTTTCTGGGCAGAGCACTGGGTGCTCAAATGCCTTTGTTTCTATGAAGAAAAAAAAAAAAAACAACCAGGCATGATTTCAGGCTGGTGCCTGAGCTCCTATACTGAGATAACCCTTATTTTACAGTCAACGAAAGGCCAGAATCAATGCATTCATTAAGATTTTCATGATAATACCCCAAAAAGACTGGATTTGATGTCAGTGGTTACAAACGTGGGTTAGGCTCTTGTATTTCTGTTACTCTTTACCTAAACAAGCAGAGTGTGTTAACAGACTGCTTTGTCCGTTTCCTTCGAGTGCTGCCTGGTGAAGGCATTGTCTACTGTTAGCCTAAAGCTTGGGGCATCAGGGAGATACAGTTCCTGGAGGAACTGGGAGCTGAATGATGCTGGAGAAAGGATGTCTACATGTAAAATACGTGTCCTATGCAGGGCTAAGCAGCCACAGATTTCTAAAATCCTTAAATGTCAGCGAGCCTGCGAGAGGACTGCACCTTCAGTGAGTATCACAGTGAAACACAACATGAAGTAAATAAGCAGAGTTTGAGGGGGCTTTCCTTCTGGCACCAAGCCTGAGAGTCAGATACGTCCATGCTGAGCTCCTGGCCCCATAGCTTCCTAGCTGTGTGGCCTTGGGTATGTCACCCTATGCTTGGTTTCTTTGTAACAGGGAGCTAACAGCAATGCCATTCTTTCCCCCAGTTTGAACAGTTTAGATATGTTAACATCTGGCCTTTGTTATTTTAAGTCTTTCATTTGTTATTGTCATATAGACAAGTGTGTATGAGAGATGTGTGACAAGTTTTGGGAGTAATTTCTTTCTCTGTTTCCATGTGTGTTCTGGGGATTTGAACTCAGGATGCAGACTTGCTCTGAAGTACGTTTATCTGATGAGCCATCTTTCTATCCTGCCCGGCAACCCTTAAAAGTCTACAATAAATGTGTACAGTTTCATCAAAAAAGGAAGGAGACTTACAGTGTTTTAGAAGAACTAATTTCGCTATATAGGTGTGTGCATTTCTTATGCTTTCATATGTAGATGCATGCATCTAGACATCACTTATGCTTAATCCTGAACTGCTTTCATCTACAATTATGTAAATGATGTGCGTTGTTTGTCGAAGAATCCAGAATATAAGTATATAATGCGGTTTTATGAAATGAGAGCTTTAAAAGGAGATCAGAGGGAGAACTCATGGTGCAACAAAGAAGACACCTGGAAATCAGGACCACACACATCAGTGGGTGAGGAGATTGAATCTCCCTCTATTCTTGGTACTGCTAATAGCTGGAGCCTTGGGAATCTGTTTAATGCTCTCAGTTAACATTCATCTCTCTTAAAGGATTGGGTCAGCTGAACTTTATGTAAATGGGATACTATGCAAAGTGTGGGGTATCACAGAGTATCAGCTACCACCGCCATAACCATTGCTTAAGAATCTAGCACTCTTGCCTCAAACCCTCAATTCAGATTCTCCACAGAGGCTAAAGCACACCTCTGTAGTGTGACCTCCTGTTTTTCTCTTACCCTAACCTGGGATGCCGGCAAAGTCAGCACCAGCTTTGCCGTCTGTATCCCCATCCCGCACCCCTCTGTCTGTATCTACGCTTCTGCCTCAGAATGCTTCTCTGTGTTCTGTGACTTCCTATCAACCCCGCCCATTCTTCAAGTTCCATCTACACATACTGCCATGCCCTTCAAAAAGCCCTGCTGTTTCTCTAGACAGATAGGATGCTCCTTTAAAAACAGCAAAGTGTTATTTACTATGCTGCAGACGTGGGGACGGCAGCATAAGAAGAAAACAATGCACCCCCTTTCTTTTTTTTTGGTTTTTCGAGACAGGGTTTCTCTGTGGTTTTTGAGCCTGTCCTGAAACTAGCTCTGTAGACCAGGCTGGCCTCGAACTCACAGAGATCCGCCTGCCTCTGCCTCCCGAGTGCTGGGATTAAAGGCGTGCGCCACCACTGCCCGGCAATGCACCCCTTTCTTGATAATCCCTCTTACCTCCTCTCCCAGCCATGTTTGATATGACAGCGACTTGTCTTTGTATCATAAGCCAAGGCTTCTCAAGGGCTGGGATTTTCTATTATTCGTGTTCGTATTCCCTGCTGAGTGCAGTCGTGCCCACACGGAAGGCCAGGACACACTGGCTCTGTTGAATGGAATGATACTTACCAGTGGGGACACGACAAATGGCGCCTTGCAGAAGAGACTCACAGGCTGTTCTATGCCAGCGTCCACTAGTGTCAGCAAAAACACAGTCACCACGGAAGGTGGGCTCTTCGTCCTTCCAATAGGTGAAAGGGGATTTGGTGCCATCCGACCAGTCAAAAGTAAGACCATTCTGCAGAGGGAATTCAAAGCATCACTTCACTGCCACGACTTGCTGGAATCACCCCAAACTACCCAAGCACGCACTCCTTCCAAAAGAACCGGAGGTCATGAATGGAACAGAGTTTACCTTTCAGTAATTCAAGTGTGTAATACTCTTGTTTTCAAAAGCAAAAAACAAAACAAAACAAAAAATAAAATAAAAGTCACACAAACAGAACTCTGCATGTTATATTTCAAGGGTAGTAAATTAGTTAATAATTAATTTCTGAGCAGGAAGCAGAAATCTTTTTTTTTTTTTCATGGAGATTCTGGAAATCTAACAAATTACCCAAACATGGTACTTGAGTTTGAGATGTGTTTCATTGCATAAATGATTCAGTACTCAGGGATTCTTGAGAGTTTTCAAAGGACCCATGGGGGCATTATATTTAGAAATCAGACATTGCATATTCATCCTAAAACAATGTATACTCTTGTTTTGTAGCCCCAGGGTCCTCAAAAACAAAACCAAAACAAAAAATCTGAAAATAACAACAACAAAACCCCCCATAGTTTCTGTATAAAGCAGCTGTTGGAATGCTATACTTATGATTGTGTCTGGGAATTATGTTTGCATTCTGGTTCCAGTAGCTGTCTCCCTAAGGAAGTAGGCAGAAACTTTGCAAAGATGACTGGCGGGACTTCGAACACCTACGTCTGTGGTGGAGAGCCCAATCCAGTGGGCATGTCCCAGCCTGCTGAGAACAACTGTGAGGAAGGCCTGCTGGAAATTGTCTGCAATGCTGGCCAGTTCTGCTCCATGCATCAGGCAGGTTCTTCTTGCTGTGTACCACGTCATATTGGCACGAATGATTTTATAAGTTCTGTTTCCAAATTCTAATGTGCTGGGGACTGAATGCATATCAGACACGTTTGCACGGTATTCAGGAGTATCTAGATTGAGAACAACAACAAAATTGCTTGTACTGTCTGGACTACAGAGGATGTCAGACTCAACATGCATCTTTGTCACTAACAGCGACACTGACCAGAGCTTTTCCTCCAGAAGTGATGAATTCAAAACAATGACACTATACTTGGAAGGTGTGCGATGCTAAGGCAGGGGAACACTGTGGTGGTTTGAATGAAAATGGCCTTCATAGGCTCAAACATTTGACCCCTTGATCCCTAGATGGTGGAACTGTTTGAGAAGGATAAGGAGGTGTGGCCTTGTTAGAGGAAGTATGTTATTGGGGTGGGCTTTGAAGTTTAAAAAGCCATGCCATTCCAGTTAGCACTGTGTGTGTGTGTGTGTGTGTGCTCACGCGTGCATGCACGTGCACACACATGCCTATGTGTGCTTTCTCTTTAAGTTGTATGCATTTCTCTTTTTTGTCCTGTATTCTGCTGTATCCATAGAACAGCCTAAATTTAGGAAAATGTTTGTGCATCTGACCTAGCGTGAATTTAGTTCCTCTTGCATACTAGGCTGAAAACTAAGTCAGTAAGTGATCTGGGCTTCTTAAAGGGCATGTTGAGATGTGAATGGCTAAAGGCCTGGACTGCATCTCATTCCTGACCCTCCCTGGCTAAGAGGCCTGGAGAAGATTAGTCCTCCTAAAACTTACATTTCAGGTCTATAAGAACTGGTAAGTTCTTCCTGAGGAGGGTGTGTGTAGAATTCACTGCTGTATCCACACAGGACATGCTCTATTGCATCCAGGACACACCAACAGTTAATAAATGTTGCTCCTCACTGCCCTCTCCTGTTTTGGTCATGTTCTCCACAATAAAAATGGCAAAGCGGAAAGTAGCCTTTTGCCTTTGTTACCGTTGCTTGATTTAGAAAGCACACATTGTAAAACGGAAGTGAAATGAGCCTATTTATTAATTACCTTGTGACAGACTGTACTTGGTCACAGTGTCCTCTTGGCTGGAAACCTGCTTGCCAGCCTATGCTCCCAGTTTATGGCTAGTTATACAGAATCTATATGACACAAAGTACTATTTTAAAGTGAAAATTGGCACAATAATATAACTGATATTTTTTTTTGTTTCCTTTTACTGGGTTACACCATTGCTTTTATACCTAAGAATTTCTCCCAGTGCAATTAGTCCTTCCAAGTTTCAAAACAAAACATACATGGTTTTGAGCAATGTGGTTTTGTAGCTCATTATCCTGGAAGAAATATCTATGGATACTGAGTTGTTCCCGACTGTTCAGTCTTTACTTTGTCTTGGTCTCTCTCTCTCTCTCTCTCTCTCTCTCTCTCTCTCTCTCTCTCTCTCTGCATGCATGTGTGTGTACATTTGTGTGTGAACACATGCCTGTGTGTGCCATGGCATGTATGTGGAGGTCAGAGGACAACCATGGATGTTGCTTCTTTTCTTCTATTTGAGTCAAGGTCCTGCTCTGTTGTTTTTCTGTTGTGCTTGCCAGGTTAGCTGGCCTATGAGCTTTAGGGGATCCTCCTGTCTCTGCCCTCCATCTCCCCAAAGGAGTTCTGGGATTACAGAGGCTTATACCATGCACCTGGGCTTTTACTGGGTGCTGGGGATTCAAACTCAGGTCCTCAAGCTTGTACTGCAACTTCTTTCATCCACTGAGCAGCCTCCTCTGGCCTTTGCCTCTCTTTTTATTCTTCCTTCCTTTGCTTTTTTCTTTCTTTCTCTTCCCCCCCCTTTTTTTTTTGAGGCAGGGTTTCTCTGTATAACAGCTCTGGCTGTCCTGGAACTTGCTTTGTATACCAGGCTGGCCTTGAACTCACAGAGGTCTAACTACCTCTGCCTCCTGAGTGCTGGGATTAAAAGTGTGTGCCACCACCTCCTGGCTTACTCCTATTTCTTTTTTCTTTCAGGAACATAGCAATTTTTGACTCAAGCCCAATATAAGCATATATTTATGTCGAAAATACAAGGTGTTCATTGTAATAAGAATAGAAGTTTAATAGTATTTTTTAGAAATAATAATTTTTAAAAAACCGTCCTTTGTTAAACACATGCTGAGAACTATGCTAAGCTTTGTATGTGCATATGAAATAGTTCTTACCTCATTTTACAGAAATTGAAATCAAGGCTCATAGAAGATGCAGTCATTTTACTGATCAGATTTCCACGATTTCCAAGGCGTCACATTATACAGCAAGAGTTGGGGTGAGTGTATTGTGGTTCCTCTCTCCAGTAAAAGCCACAGACCCTGTGGCCTAACTCCAGCTCGGTCACCCTTCAGAGACCTCACTTCTGAACTTGTTGCTGATGCTTGTGTAAAGAGGTGAAGTGGGAGCTTGTCTGGTCAGACATGGGGCTGTGTTCCCCCTCTGTCCTGCAGTGTCACCTAAAGAGCACCCATGTTGCTCGTCCCCAAATGCCAAAGAAAGCAATCAGCGCATAAATTTGAGACGAGGTCAACTTTGCAGAAACAGAATTACTACTATCTTTAACTGAAATATTGCTTTGTTTTGTTTTGTTTTGTTTTGTTTTGTTTTTTTAAGACTAACATTCCTTATCTATAGAATGGAAAGACTTTGACCGATTTCCTGGACTGGTCTTGAAGGTTTTATGGCATAATGTTTATAAACCCAAAGGCATGGTGCCAGGCACAGGGACACACAGGTTGTGAAAGCAGGAGCTGTCTTTGCTATTTTCATTATTGAAGGTTACTCAAGGACAATCACACTGCTTAGTCATCCCACTGGATATAGGATACAGGTGATAGTATCACACTTTAATTAGGATCTTAAATATCCTCCAAAGGCCCTGGTATCCCATTGGACCTGATGGAGCATTTGACAGGTGAGGTCCAGTAGAAGGTCCTATGTCACTGTGCATGCCACTGAAGGGAATTATGGGAATTTGGACTCTTCCTGTTCTATACTTTTGCCTCTCAGTCATGAGTTGAATGTCTTTGTTTTATTCCCTGATCCCTCCATAGCTTTCTGCTTTTAGCACAGCCCCAAAGCAATGGGTCTAACCTTCAAAATTATTATGCCAATATAAATAATCTTCTCTTGTTATAAGCTGATTAGTTCAGATATTTTATTACAGGGAGGGGAAGCTATCACATATGGCTTTGATATTACACTCCAGAAATTATTAGGGAGTTTTTTGCCCCAGATATAGAAATATACCAAATGTCATATTAGCCACAGATACTATTTTTGAAGCTTAAAAAAAAAAGAGTGAGGATGCACAGGGGTAGTGCACATCTTTATTCCTAGCACTTGGGAGTCAGAGGCAGGTGGATCTCTATGAGTTCAAGGCCAGCCTGGTCTATAAGAGCTAGTTCCAGGACAGGCTCCAAAGCTATAGAGAAACCCTGTCATGAAAAAAAAAAAAACCCAAAGAAAGAAAGGAAGAAAGGGAAAAGGAAAGAAAAGGAAAAAAGAGTGAGTGTGTACTGGTTTATTTTTATAACTCTTGTTTCAAGTCAGGTCTTGCTCTATGACTCAGGCTGTCCTGGAACTCAATCTGTACTCCAGGGTGTACTTGAACTTGTAAGGTTTTTTTCTTTTTTTTTTTCTTTTTTTTTGTCATTTTTAACTTCAGTCTCCCAAGTGAAGGAATTATAGGCATAAACTAAACCAGTTCCTCATTTTTTTTTCTTTTTATTTTTTTGAGATAAGGTTGCTCTCTGCAGTCCTGGCTGTCCTGGAACTCACACTGTAGACCAGGCTAGCCTCAAACTCACAGGCAGTGAGTTTTCTGCCTGCCTGCCTCTGCCTCCCAAGCGTTGGGATTAAAGGCACTTCCACTGCCTGGCTTCAGCTCCTCATTCTTTTTCAACATTCTGGGAGACATTTAAAAATTGCCGCAATAGACCACGATTAGACCTACTGTCAGTGCTCTCTGTGAAGTGCTGTATGTTGGAATTTAACCCCCAGTCTGGAGGATTGAGTGGGAAGAAACTTATCTGACTTTGAAGTTCAGAAGTAGGATCTCTGGAGGGTGACCAAGCTGAAGTAAGGCTACCGGGGTTCCCTGACTGAATCTTGGTGGCTTTAACTGGAAAGAAGGCTCAGAATGCACTCACCCCAGTCTCTTGCTTTATAACATGACACCTTGGAAGTCTGGCAGGGTAGATCAACAAATGTCATCACTTTGACTTTGAAACAGAACTGTGCATGAATCAAAAAAAAAAAAGTGTTTTTCTTTGTGTTGTTGCTAACATCACACAGTCTAGGAAAATGGACTGGACCACGCAGACTCCCAGAGCACAGGTGGAAAGCTATTTAGTGGTCCTATGGTTGGTGTATAAAGTCGGTTATCTGTCAGATGGTTTCTGCAGTCCTAAGTAGTGGGGGACACGTGGCTAAGTATAGAGGACAACGACTTATATCATAGCTGCAAAGCTGATAGACAGCAGGTGTGGAAGCAAGGTTGGAAATAAAAAGAATAAAACCCCAATTATTTCTTACCTTGCATTTTTTCACAGACAAATCCATAGCCTTCTTTCCCACAGTCATCAAAATACCATTTTCCAGTGAAATGAAAATTAGGACTACTTAGCATCAGGGCACAAAGTGGAGCATGCTTTTTCATTTTAGAGATATTGTAATTTGGTATCTTTAAAGGAATACACATTATTAAAATATGATAAATATAACATTATTGTCACATTGAAAAATTTGATTTAGAGCATAAATTGAAAAAGTAAGACACCATTATTATCTTATTTACATCTAATTAGAACCAAATCAGAAATCTCTTCATAGCCTCCAAGATAAACAATCATCATGATTCGTAGTGTAATTGTGTTTATAGTATGCATGAAACTGTTAAAATGTTACATTATTAAAAATTAACATATGGCTGGTAAACTAATATAAATTTATAGCTTCAAAATACAGAAAGAAAACAGTTTTAGTCAATAAGTCTCAGTTACGATCTCTTGTTTAAAAGGCGTAAAAAAAAAAATAAATCTTTGAGGGTCTTAGAATACAGCACAAAGGTTAAAGTATACAAGACCCTGATCTGATCCCCAGCAAGCCGTGCCCCCAGTAATTTAAAACTTACATTTATGACGTCAGACGGAGACCAGTTAGAATATACCACAGGCTTCCTATTCACCCACGTCTCGTGATTGTCACTTTTTAACCCTATCCACACATTGGTGGTCTGGCCGAAAAGGTTCACAGTAACGAAAGCTGGAAAATAGAACCACATTATCTAATAATGCCACATAAACCATTGGGTCGTCATCAAATGCTGCTCATACACATCATTATATTTAAATGACAGAAAAACTTTATTTTGAATCGAGTGTAGAAATTCCTTATTTTGCTCTCATTAAGGTAACTTTGGTTTGGTTTCAGTTTAAATTGAACGAAATTAGCTGGGTAACTTGAGATTTTATCAGATCATTAGCAAAACAATTTCCAGTGTTCACTTACTACTTTCTTAAACAAACAAGGATTAATGGAGTATATTTAAAAAGAAGTATGTAAATGCCTAAGTTTCAACTTAAAATGTATAGGTGAACTTAAAATGATCTTTGAAAAACTTACCTTGCAATTGTAGTAGATATTCTTGAGATATTACGTTAGCCATTCTAGAACACACATAAATATATCCTCATTCTCTCCAGTTAAGGTCTCTAAAGTTAGCAGTTTCTTGGCAGGCTACCGACTCTCACAAATGTTGTGGTAGAAACCCTGGCGCTCAAACTGAAATTTCCTGTGTCTTAGCAGTATACTGTTTTAAATGTTGATTTGTAAGCGAAAGTTTGGAGGTGACATTTTGATTACTATTAGAATGATGGTGGCCATTTTGGCTTGGTTGAACCCTTGGACTCTACCTTGCTCCAATTCACTTTCGATGGAGACCAGCGTCCCGCCCTTGCCGACGCAGAAATCCTGAGCACCTGCCCAGGTCTTCAGCTCGCGGGTGTCTTTGGGAATCCACACCTGGAAGCACTATAAACAACAACAACAACAACACAATGTGTTCATTCCTGCACTGTTCTACGTGAACGAAGCAAGTTCCCAAAGGCACCTAAGGTCGGCCTTGGAAATGATAATTTTCTTAGGTAGAGAACTCATCAGCTTTCTGCCCGCTCTGCAGGCATTAACAAAGCTGCTTCGGGGTGAAGAGCGATTTGTCTCATTCACGTGAGGCAGAGCAGAAGCAGGGATGTATTTGTCATCCGGAACGTCACCATGGCGTCTTCTGCTCCGTGGAGAGGGGCACTCTTCCTAGGAGCCAGTCAGTTTGCAAGGTTTACAGTAGGAGATTTAGTCTAAGAAGAAAGAAGGAGTGGCTTAGCTAGACTCATCCTGAAGCCCACTTGCTTATTTTAGTGAGAGACGAAAGGACAGGGAGGATTGAAGTTCACTAGAAGCTCAGAGCCCACCATTTAACATAAAACACACAGGAAGTGACAGAAAAACAACGGGGCAAATGAGAGGAAGACAGAAAAACAAAGCAGACAGACCAAGGGACAAACATGACCACTGACTCTAAGCCGAACATAAAAATACAGGCTGGAGCTTTACAATGAGGTGGTCATCTTTAACAACAACAACAACAACAACAACAAAAATCTTTATTATGCCACACACATGAAGGTCAGAGGACAACTCTAAGAAGTCAGTTCACTGTGGGGTCCAGGGACCAAACTCACGCTAGCCGTGCTGTGGCCTGAGACCATCAAGAAGTTTCCTTGCTGTCTGACGGGATGAGAATCGGAATGATACAATTAACCCAGTGCCGTGGAATATTAGTTTAAAGTGTGTTATTTTTGTTAATGCTGCACTTAACTCTGTGAAGCTGAAGTTCTTTGGCTGTCTAAAACACCTGATGGTCAAATAAAGACCTGAACGGCCAATAGTGAGGCAGGAGAAAGGATAGATGGAGCTGGCAGGCAGAGAGAATAAATAGGAGAAATCTGGGAGCGGAGGAGGAGCAAGAGAGAAGGAGGAGGACACCAGGGGCCAGACAACCAGACACCCAGCCACACAGCCAGCCATGGAGTAAGATAAGATGTAAGAAAAGGAAAAAAAAAAAACCCAGAGGCAAAAGGTAGATGGGATAATTTAGGTTAGAAACAAGCCAAGCTAAGGCCAGGCATTTATAAGAAAGAATAATCTTCTGCGAGTGATTTATCCGGGAGCTGGGTGGCGGGCCTCTAAAAGAACAAAGAGTAAAAAGCAACCAACGACAGTCTAGTAGGCTCATCTTGCTGATAAAATGTAAACCTGGTAAGAAAAGCTGAAGTAAAGCCATGAGGTAGAAAGAAGACCACAGCACTAACACTTCCGGACAGGGTTCACGGAAGTCAGGAGAGCCTTCGTGCAGGGACATTCCGTGCAGAAAGTGCTGGCACTTTCTCTTTCCACTCAGTTGCCTCCTCAATGAACAGAGGCAGCCCTAGTCATTGGCAGGTGCGACCCCAGGATTGAGCCACAGAGAAAATTTCAGACTAACCCCAATTTACCTAGAAACTGACAGAAGAGAGCGCCACCTTTCCTGTCCTACTCTGGGATGGCGCTCTTCTCCCTCAGGTCTCTAATTTCCCTTCCTTCAGCTGCCACCCCCTCCCAAGAGCCAACCCTCACTGCAGAAAAGCGGGGCCAGTCTTCTTTGGCACACAAGGATAATCCCTAAAAACCCATCCATGAGACAGAAGAATGGCCTGTGAAATGACTGTCGATTTCAAGTCACCAAGCAAGGCAGGAACCTTGGAGGGGAACTATCCCATTAAAATAGTATTCATATATCTTTCCATTTTTATTTTCTCCAGTGTAAACTTTTTTGGGGGGTGGGGGACAAGGAAATCCAGTTAGAAGGCAGTTGAGATGGCTCAGTGGGAGAGCACTTGTCACACACTGTGATGACTGGGATTTGGATCCCCCACCCCAAACTCATGTAAAAAAAAAAAAAAGCCAGGTGACATTGGGGCTTTCCACTGTAATTCCAGCAATCAGGAATTCCAGCAATCAGGTGGAGACGGGGATGGCTGGAACAAGCTAGCCAACACTGAGAGCCCGCCTCCATCTGTAAGGTGAAGAGCATTTGGGGTGATATCCGAGGAAGAAAACCAATGTTAGTCTTGGACTTCCACACAAAGGTAGACACACATACATGCAGCTATGTAATCATGTGTACTTATACACATACAAACACTTGCTCATACACTCACATGATGCATGCATTTAAAGACAAAGAAAAATCAGTGCAAATTACTAACCCCATAGAGGTATTCTACCCCATTCTTCTGGGTATGTAAACTTGTCTCACTCACTACAACACCAAACCAGGGTATTCATGTCCTCTGTCTGTGCGACATTGAACTGAATATGCCCAGAAGTGTCCACATTCTCCACCTTAACCTTGTAGACCTGTGCTCTATGACCATGATCTGAACATGCCCAGAGACGGGTCTATTATCTTTCCTTTTTAAACTATAACCTTAACTGAGCAAGCTCATGGGTGTCCACCTCACGGCGCTTCTCCAGAGGAGTCGAGATGGACTCTCGGCTAAGGTCACCACCCTTCCGTGCCTTGGGGAGAGCAGTATTCGGGGGGGGGGGAGGACAACCCCAGCGCTCTCCTTAACTGTTGCAGGCAACAAGTCTTCCCACTCTTACCTCCTGCTGTGTTTCTGGTTGGGCACTCTCCGAGACACAACTCCTTGCAATCAGTTGCACAATGACGCTCTCAGACATTCTAGACTTAACACCGCACAATTTTCCCTCTTGTGGATATTGCGACAAAGTCTGGGGACACTCTTAGTTATTCTTAGTTTGGGAAGAGTTGTCGCCGGCATACGCAGATGTAGACTAGGTGCCAGATACTGCCGTGAGTGACTGTATGATTTACCACAACAAAGAACTATCTGACTCCAAATGTCACTAGTGCCAGGGCCAATTTCCCCAAAACTCAGTTCTGATAATGTCATTCTTTAGGGCTTCAGTACACACACACGCACACACACGCACACATACACACACACACACACACACACACACACACACACACACACACACACACCCCTTTTAGGATTAAAAGCCAGAAACTGTGATGTAGCCCGAGTTACCAATCAAGAGAGGAGTGGGTTTCCAAGCCTCCTGCGTCCCTCTTTCTTGTGTGCTTCACAAAGAAATGGAATTGGCTTTACAGGAGCTTCATTTTTTAACAACCACCCTTTTATCTGTTCCTTTTTATTCTGCTCCTTTCTTCTAATTACAAATCCCAACGAGCGGCACACACTAATTATTGAGAAGTCTTATCATTTAATGCGAGTTCGCCTTGGGTTCAGATAGTCACTAATGAACCATTCATAAACACCAGTGACTCTTGCTGGCTCAGTCTGCTCCACCCTTCTCTCCAGGAAAGCTTCTCCCTTCACTACCTTCCGTGTTTCCTGCAGCCAAGATTTGTCAGTTTGACAGTGGAGGTATGGCTTCCTATTGTCACAGGCTTCTTTTCTAAATATACCATATTTACTAATAAACTTGGAAACAACATCCCTAAGCAATAAGGCAGAAACGTTGAAGGAAAAATGGCCTCCTCGATTTTAACTTGTTTACCTTCTGACAAATTTGCAAATTGTGTTCGAGTTATATGCGTCTCTGATCATAATTGTGAATTAAGGAGGCTCTATAATATTCCAAACGAGCTTGGAATAATAAAATTTCTTTGTTCCAAAATAATTTATAGTCAACATTTGGCAATAAAATCTATAATATTTCCTTCAAATTTGGTCTTTTCTCAGTTTTCCACCTGTCATTGAATGTTGACGTCTGGAACTTTGTGAATATCCTTACTCTTTCCCCCTTCTCTGCCTTAGATGCTACTGAAGGGGCCATTGGCAGGGAACCAACACACACACACACGCACACACACACACACACACACACACACGCACACACACACACAGGGGGGAGGAGAGGAGAAAAGAAAAGAAGAGCTCCCTCTTAGCCCTGCTGACTTGTCCTTCCTAGGGTAACATCTTGTCAATCTCCCCAAATGTCATTAAGCTACATTATCACACATGAAGAAGACGATTTATGAGTCATTGGAAACGATGCTTAGCTTCCAGGTATCTTGGTTTTTAAAACTCTAAAAATGCAATTAACTTGTCAGCTGAGTTTTTTTTAAAGTAATAAAAATTAGTCCTTGGAAGAGTTGATGATGAAGGGGGAAAGTTTAAGGGCCCATCATGTATTGAAATTTGTGCTGAACTTATCCCCCACTTTTCTTCCTGTAGCTTTAAGAGTTAAGGGGAGTGTGGGGATGTGGTGGAGGAGGGAATGGCCCCACAGCGCTTGCTACTTCCCTCAGCCTCAATCCTTTCTTTTCTGGCTTCCAGACTGAGTAACCCATTAACAGCAGTCCCTTCTTATCCATGGTTTCACTTCATCCTTTCAAGGACTCAGTCAGAAGAGTGAAGGCATTGACAGAGATAGGCTCTGCATGTGGGCACGAGAGGAGAGGCAGTCCCTTAATTTTGTTATGAGACATCATTTTATTTTATCATTGCTTACTGTGATTCTTCCTCTCCTTTTAAGGATTTATTTATTTATTTATTTATTTATACATACAGTATCCTGCCTGTAGGCCAGAAGAGGGCACCAGATCTCATTACAGATGGCTGTGAGCCACCACGTGGTTGCTGGGAATTGAACTCAGGACCTCTGGAAGAGCTGCCAGTGCTCTTAACCACTGAGCCTTCTCTCTAGCCCCCCCTTATGGTTTCTTCACCCACCTCATTTATAAATGGAAGATAGCTCTCAGAAGGAGAGCTTTCTCTACAGGTGGCTGCATTGGGAGGTGCTGTGGACATTCAATAGGTGAAGCTGAAGAAGCCCTTATGAAATCCAGGTGCACTCTCACAAAGGACCATGGGACCCTAGTCTCTGTTTCTCGGTCTGCCTACTCCTCACCCCCTCATATGCTCAAGATGCAAACACTTGCCTTTGGATTCTGTTTTAAAATAAAATTTTGGGACAGGATAGGCATTTGTTGGTATCTGTCTGTAGCAACTAGCTCTGGGATGTACTTGTCCTAACAGCCTTAAGAAACAAACCGTCAAATGGTTGAAGTAAAAGTCAATCAGAATCCAAATCTGAGCCAAAATCACAGAGAAGAAAGATGTAGGGGGAAAGTATTCCTGACACGTGGTTTGAGGCTGTGTTCTTAGGTGTGATACCAAAAGCATAAGACCCAGAAGAAAAAGTAGATACACTGGACTTCATCAAAATTATAGACTTACGTGCATCAAAGGGCATTCTAATTATAAAAGAGAAACCATTATAATTGTTAGGGGTAAAATCTGATAGGAATTCATTACACATAATACTAGAAAGAATCTCTATAATTCATCAATGAAAAAACCAAATGACTTAATTAAAATGCAGACAAAGGATTTAATTAAATCCCCCCAAAAGTCCATGAATGAAACCTCCCATTACCTATGCAACTGTAAATTGTTTTCTGGGAAAACACATTTGTCAGTTAAATAACTAAACAGGAGCTTCCTGACTTAGCAATTGTGCCTCTAGGTTTTTCTCCAAGAGGAATGAACACTGGTACTTGGAAATGTATACACTGATGTACATTGTAGCACTGTTCTTTTTCTACTCCTGTGAAAAAATGCCAGTGGGATATTGATGGAGACTCGGCATCGACTCGGCAGATTGCTGCGGGTAGTGTTGATATTTTAATAATAGCAATTCTTTAAAAAAATAAATCTAATACAACTTTTTAAAAAAGAATATGAGACTGGTGTGTGTGTGCGTGCGTGTGTGTATGTGTGTGTGTGTGTGTGTGAGTGTGCGCATGCGTGCATGTGCATGTGTGCGTGCATGTGTGCGTGCATGTGTGTGTGCGCGCGCGCGCGTGGGCATGCGTGTGCATGTGCGTGTGTGTGTGTGTGTGTGTGTGTGCATGCGTGTGTTCCAGTCGGAGAGCCAGGCACCTGTCTTTTCAGAGGACAGCTTAGGGTTTCACTCCTTGCCTTCCACCCTGCTTGAGACAGGATCTCTCTTGCTTACTGCTGTGTATGCGAATTAACTGGCTCATGAGCTTCAGGTGGTTTTCCCCGCCCGCGCCTCCTAGGTAGAAGCATGTGCTGGGATTAGGAGCATGTGTTCTACTGAACCTGATGGTCCACGTGGTTTCTAGAGACCTGAACTCGGGGGGGGGGGTTAACAAGACACATTCTTTATATACGACAACAGAGGCTGAATTTTGACCTGACCCATATGTTCATAAAAGTCACACAATTGTGCGAGCCTCAGATTTCTCAGATGCAAAATCGGAACACTAACTGTCTATCTTAAAAATGAGATCAAATAAGAAATATTTGCGAAACCGCCCAGCCAAATCAGCCAAGAGGTAAGGGCTCTCACATTGGGAGGGAGAGGCTCGTGAGACCCTCACCTGAGATGGGTTCATCTAGCTGCTTCACACCACCTGGTCTATGTGACGCTGATCTAACTACACGCGGCCTGGGGTCGGGGCTAGGGTATGCAGGCAGGGGAAAGCTAGGGGACGAAGGCTCTGCCCATGTGGCTAGGTCGTCATCCCTGATAGGTAAAGACTTTCCCAGACATAAACAACCTTTTGCCTACGCTCTGGAAGGAAGCCCAATAAACTGAATGGTTCTCCAGAGTCGCTTTTGGTAGATTCATACCTTGGTTTGTCTTTGGGGCCTCAGGTATAGGGGTAGATAGTGTTTATATCTCCCACTGGGAAGGAGTTTTGGCAAAACATATGCCACAGAATATACTCAGCCTTTAAAAGAAAAAAAGTCCTGTCACATGTCATAACATGGCTGAGACTTAAAGACATCCTACTAAGTGAGCCAGTCATAAAAGGATGGGCACGGCATGTCTCCATGTTCAGGATTCTAGCTCGGAGAGACATGAGATATAACGGGGGAGCCATTTATTTAGGATGCAGGATGTGATGGGGAAGAAGAATAGGGAGTTGTTACTCAATGAATATAGAGTTTGGTTCTGTAATAAGAGAAAGGACCTGGAGATGCATGGTACAACATACGGATGCTGAACACTGGCAAACCACACACTGAAAATGACTAAGGTAGAAAATTATATAGTAATTGTATCTCACCATAATTAAACTAGCCATATGTAACTAGTCATGTGTGTGTGTGTGTGTGTGTGTGTGTGTGTGTGTGTGTGTGTACAGAATTCAGGTAACTCACTGCCTGAGTTAACAGTGGCAGCAAGATGATGAAGAAGAATATGCCTGCGGTGTGACCGAACACTTAGATTTAAACCTGGCTGTCCACAATTAAAGAGCAATTTCAAGTTAGCGTATGGAATTATGACACCGTTTCATTTCTTAATTCTCTAAGAGTTAAGCAATTACAGTTTGGGATTCATTTAGTCACTTTCACCCAAAGCCTCTAAAGTTATTTTATTACAAAACCTAAGGAGTGGAGGCAAAGTCTCAGCCTCCCCGGACGGGCGCTTCAGAGATCATAAACCTGGTTGACGGCGTCCCTGCTGGCAAGCTTTCACTCTGAAATTGAATTCGGCACAGAAGCATCAGCTTTATGAAGCTCAAGATGACATTGACCAAATTGCATTATTAGTTCATCAGTTTACAGGTGGGTAGAGTCCTGCGGCTTCTGGGCGGGGAAGAGGAGGAGGAACAGGATATGGGCTCTCTAAAGTTTACTTGCGGGGTGGGGTGGGGGTGGATGAATTGGCACGCAGGCACACACAGGTCTACACACACACACACACACACACACACACACACACACTGCAGACACGCACACCCATCCTATCTAGTGACTCACACAGCACAAGGGACATCACTAGAAAAAATGCCTCCACAAACGGGGTGTGGGGGCACAGCCGCCTTGCACAAACCCTTTCTGTTCCCAAAGGGAAAGCTTCTGAAGTCATTCGAAAGGCGTGGCAGTGGCAGCTCAGGTCCTGTGGGTAACTGGTGCTTGAAACAAGCAAGCAAGCAAGCAAGCAAGCAAGCAAGCAAGCAAGCAAGCAAGCAAGCAAGCAAGCAAGCAAACAAACATGCCCACCCCTCAAACCCCACTCTCACTTTGAATGACTTTTCAACTGGCATTCCACAAAAGAAAAACAAAGACGATGTTACAAGAAGGAATTTACCTTGTGGTTAAAATAAAGCCAGCCTTTGGGGCACGTCCCATGTGGCAAGGGTGGCTTCTTCTTCTCGATGACCCACATCTCCTCTCTCTTGCAAATGCTGGGCATAGAAACAGAACAGTCCTCAGTCCCCCAGAGCCCTGCATGAGGAGACAGGTCAGAAAAGCTGTCGGAGCCAGGACAGCCCCTCCACAATCTTTATGGATTGATTTTCATGGCTGCTATGGTTTTTCATAATTTCATTTTTTGAACTCTGGAAACTGAACTAAACTACTAAGTACAAAGATCTCTAGTGACACCGCCCTGGGCAAGGTGCCATCTGAGTAATTAGAATGTAAAAATGTAAAAAAAAAATGTAAAATAAGTTCACAAAAGTAAACAAATGCTATAATTGAAATAAGATTAATTTAAAGTAATATGAATATTTGGCTTGGGAAGCAAAATAAGCCTTCAGGTTTTTAAGTATTCAGCTTCAGTAAAGGGAAAATATTTCTAAGACAATAGATCATCATTTTTAAACTTTATAATACTTCTTCCGAAAATGCAGGATAAATATACTTAATGTAGATATCTAAATCCTAAAATGTTTGAGTGCTGACATGGTGTCTGGGAAGGCATTTCTAGTTTCAGATGTTTAGCCAGGAAACAGCTCGCTTGTAAAGCCCCTGTAAACATCCCCAACTTGCAAACATCAAAACACTTCCTATCTTAACTCTTGTTGGATAAAAGATGCCCAGCCTACATAATACTGTAGAATGATTAAATGAGGAACTTCTCAAAAAGGAGGATTGCTCGGTCTTGACTCTTATATGAGTCAGACTCTTATATGAACAGGTCTTTTCTAAGACAGATCTCCAACCTCCCAGCCTCTTGCAAACCATCTTTTAGTTTAGAAGGGCTGCAATTCCAGAGGAAAGTGACGGATGCCTGTTCGTATTGAGTAAAAAATGCCAGACAAAGAAGCTGTGTGCACAGCGCAAGGCAGGTCTAGCTTTGTGTGTTAAAACAGGCATGAAAACCATGAGCTTCAAAGGTGGGGCTGGGCTGTGGCTGTCAGTGCGGATCCTCAGCTGTTCTGGCAAAACAGTCCTTTCCATAGGCTGTTGTGACACCTGCTGGCAAAACAGGCGGATTAGCTACAGCTTTCCCCTAACTCTGCAGAGCCCGCCCACAGGGGAGCGCTTCTCCTCTCTCTATTTCTCCCCTGACCATACTAGTTATGAACATGGATTTTTTTTTTAAAGAATGGCTTGTGTCAGTAGATGCTCAACTAGGCAGTACTATTCTCAGAACTCAGAGAAGCCAGTCTTTAGTTTCGGGGTGCCATCGGATCTAACTTGCAAACAGATGCTCATCTCAGATGAGCAGTCATTAGTGCCAGCAATAATAAAATTGTAATGAACAATAAAAATAATAATAAAACAGTGAACTAAATGTAAATTTTTTTTTAAAAATATTTATTTATTTTTAAGTGATTGGTGTCTTGTCTGCGTGTATGTCTGTGAGGATACCAGATCTCTGGAACTGGAGATACAGACAGCTGTGAGCTGTCATGCAGTGCTGGGAATTGAACCCAGGTTCTCTGGAAGAGCAGCCAGTGCTCTTACTTGGGTCCATCTTTCCAGCCCTGAACACAGGTTTTAATTATACGCGGTAAAACATTCGCAGACTGCACAGAGTGAGCCAGTTTACAAACAGGAAAGTAGAGATGGGTGAAACGTAGCCTGTACACTGAGGTCTCACAGAGAACAGCATTTATAGGACATTTTTCACTGCATTGAGTCTTTTTAATAATTTCACCTTTACAGTTATGGTAATTTCTCTGTACTTTCTACATTTAGTACATTTTACTTTTCCTCTCACACCTTCTTTGATGCGGCTGCTTCCTGTATATTTTAAATTCTATTCCCACTTCATTCTCAAGCTTTAGCATATTTCCTTGTAAAAATTAATGAACAATTCTTCATTGTTTTGGGTAGGGACAAGAAACATCTATTTTGTTATATTTGAAAATGAGGTGCATGTTTGTCTTTAAAAAAAAAAAAGATTTCTTAGCCGGGCGGTAGTGGCGCACGCCTTTAATCCCAGCACTTGGGAGGCAGAGGCAGGCGGATCTCTGTGAGTTCGAGGCCAGCCTGGTCTACAAGAGCTAGTTTCAGGATTGGCTCCAAAGCTACAGAGAAACCCTGTCTCGAAAAATAAAAAAAAAAAAAAAGATTTCTTAATGTCATTATTGCATGTGTCTGAGCATTTTGATTGAATGCATGCATGTTTACCACATGTGTGCCTGGTTCCAGAGGTGGTCAGAAGAGGACATTTGATCCCCTGAAGTAACTGGAGTTACAGATGGCTGGGGCCACCATGTGGGTGCTGGGAAGAGAAACCAGGTCTTCTGGAAGAGTAGCCCGTGTTCTTAGCCCCTGAGCCATTTCTCTAGACGGGAGCTCATGTCTGTAAGTCCCAGCAGGCTCACTTCAGGTTCTGCTGGCGCGCGAGGACTTACCCATTTGCAAGTTATATACAGGAATGTGACCGCATGAATTTCGTAGGATGGGTGTTCATCCAGAACCCTGACTACTGATGAGATTGCACGCCATCAACGGAAAACAAAAATAAGCATTCGAAGGAGCCTGGCGGCCTCTAGAGGTGTTTGCAGCGCAACCCCAGACAAGAATAAGTGAAGTAACCTGTTACGGAAGAAATGAAGGCACACCGCTGGCTCTGGTTATCCGTTCTCTTCTCTCTTCCTCCGTCCCAGTCCTGGAATATCACAGGTGACCCATTATGCCAACTGTGGGAAAATTTTTAAAAATTAAAAAGATTTATTTTTTCACGCGTATGTCATGTCCCGTCACTGTGTCTGTATATACTTATGCCACATGCATGCAGATCCTGTGGAGACCAGAAGGGGGCGTCAAGCTCCCTTGAGCTAGAGGGGTTTGTGAGCTGTCCAGTGGGTGCTGGAAACCAAATTCTGGAAGGGAAGTGAGTGCTCTTAACCACTGAGCTATCTCTCCAGCCCCAGATAAATTAAAACAAAATATTAAGGTCTCATTTGGCACGTTCAGTATCTGAGTCCATCCTTGTAGTTCTGGGATACGGACTGAAAGTATAATAGTTTACTCAATTTAATTAAGCGCACGAAGCATTGTACCTACAGCTAATCTGCATTGTGTGCACCAAAGTAAAGTATATGCTTTTTTTTTTTTATCACATACACACACAAAATAAGGGAGGCAGATGCTTTCACAAGTGATGGGCACGCTTGTGGTGTAGACCGGTGATGGCTAAAACACGCCTGCGCCTTTGGTTAGAGGAATGAAAACTTGTAAGTTAAGGAGAACAGTTGAAGGCTATTCAGCAAAGCGGTCACCTAAATCCAGTGCAATCACTATGCACATACAACTTGTCAACTAGTGTTAAATACAGATTAATCTTGGTTCATACTGAGTTGGATCGCTGGCTCCTCCTTCTTCAATTCCAATCCACCAATTTACACCGTGCTTTGATAGCTATTAAAGGGAAGGAAAAAAAAAAAGTCAGCATTTATTGTTCTCGCTTACATTTTTCACTATTAAGATCAATGAAGATGCTATTAGCTCTTTGTTTACCATGATTTTACCTGGTTACATAAGGAGGAGCAATGAAGGGCTAGGATCTTGACATTGCAGCATTCTAAAACACTCTTTGTCCACCATGAAACAGAGTAGAAACGAACCACTGAGAGTATTTTCTGTTTCATCCAGCTTGAAAAGCCAAATTTCTAACTTTGTAAGAAGCCATAAAACATAAAAGAGAAGATGGACTCGTTTCCTGACTATAATTAGTGGCATCTTCTCTCCGTGATTTATGGAAGCTCACTGCAGATGTCACATGTATTTGACAAACAAAGTACAAAGACATTAGCAGAATAAAGATTCCGAGTGGATGTACTAGTCTGGTAAGCTTTGAACAGTGTCAGCATCCAAAGGGAGAGACTTGACATAGGGCAAAATAATACGGCAGAATCCCAATGTCTGGCAGCTCGAAAATTACCCTTTATCCATTTTATTAATCTAAAGCCAATATCAATCACTCAGCCTAAGCACAGTGAAGTAGCAAACGCACACACATGTACACAGTGCACAACAGATGTATGCTGGACTTATGGCCCAGGAAATTGAAGCCCCCTCCTTAGCTGTAAAAGAGGAAGGGACAGAAAGGATTTCACTGAGGCATCTCACATGCTGTGCTTTATGGTGTATTTGCTCCCTCTGTGTGTGCTTTGAAATTCAAATTCACGTTTATATGCCAAAAACCTGCTCATTTTAAGGCACTATGTATTTAAATTTGTACTCTTGTTTCATTTTGAGAAGGCTTGGGGATACATTTTAAGATATGTTATTTATTTCCATATGAATTTCAGGTCATCATATAACAGAACGTGATAGCTTGCTAACATTCTAATTTTGAGACCAGTGTGCGTTTACTCCTTAAACAGCATGGCTGTCTGCCAGATCAGCAATTTGGGAATATCGCAAGGGGGAACTACTATAATTTGAGATCCCTGAGGAGTTGTTTCATGGACAACAACTAAATTCATGTACCACACGCTAAATTCAGATTTTCATTTTCAGACTTCGGAATGGCTCTGTTGAGGTTGACTGAGGGTGCGGTGGGAAGATCACAACTTCATCCCACCTAGAGACGGCTTGTGAGTTGCCAGGTGGTGGTGGAGCACACATTTAAACCTAGCACTCAGAATCTCTGTGAGTTCGAGGCCAGCCTAGTGTACAAAACCAGTTCCAGGGATGTTTCAGAGAGAAAGCCTGTCTTGAAAAACTGAGAGGGAGAAAAATAGATAGATAGATAGATAGATAGATAGATAGATAGATAGATAGATAGGCAGGCAGGCAGATATACAGAGAAGGCTCATGGGCAACAGCAGTCAAAGTCACGGACTGATTGCTCACTGTTCCAATTTAGGACCTTTAAAGAGAAATCATGACATTTACATCTTAACTAGCACATTTACTCCCACCTAAGTTAAGGTATGGTAATCTCTAGAGCACTCCACAGTTGTGATGTATGTGGTAGAGAACTTCACAGGACAAGCTGAAAGATGTTCAGGCAAAACAGCCTGGTGCGCAAAGATCTTAACATTACATGGAAGGCCACTTTCCAACGAGGTAGAAACACAAGCCAACAGCTCATTCGCTGAGCTTTCTAAAGCAAAGGCAATCTGTCATCGTCCATGTTTTTTACCAAAGTGATCGAGGGCTTCGATTTATTGCAAGGGCTTAAAATGTCAAAATTTTGAGAAGTAATGGATTTGATGTATAGTATCAGAAGTGTTTATAAACACAACTTAAAAGTAATAGTGAGTTGTCATTTTAAAAAGCAGATACTGTAGACCACAAAAAAAAAAGGAGGAGCCAAGTGACTGGTTGGCGAGACATCCATGCCCAATGACCCTTAAGTGCTTATGGCTTTTAATGCTTTCATCATTGATCAGAAAGAGAAGATGGGCTGAAGAGAAACATTCAAAGCTCGCCGTGATAACACGCCATGGTCTGTTTTCAAAGAGGGCGAAGAAACATAAGCATTCTTCAAAAGAAAAATCACTTTTTTCAGACTTTAAAAACCTTACCTAGCTTTCTTTCTCATATTAAGGTTCTTCTATATTCCAAGTAAGTATTATCTTTGTCTTTCACAGTCCAAGTGACTATTCATCATAGGAGAGTGATTATGAAAACTTTTGGACATTTATAGGGTGGGCATGCCTCAAGATCACGTGACATGACCTCTAGAAGTTCGACCCCTCATTCTGGAATCAGTAAGTTCTGCATCGACCCACTCTGCAAGGATAGTCTTGGGCACAAGGCTTCTTAACGGTGAGATGTTCATGCTCGCCATGAACACCACCCCCTTCCCTAGTATATGGTAAACTCCTAACTCACAAGATGACAGATTAGGAAGCAGGAGCCTCTGGTAAGTGATTAGGTCAGGAGCGTGGAGCCCTCTGGAGCGCAGGGAGTGATGAGCGAATCTCACTACACAGAACTTGACTAACTTAACACCGTTACTATTCCAGCACAAAGTGAGGCCAAAGGACATAGCAACATAATAAACCTGTGTCTCCATAATTTTCTATTAATCTGTAGAGTGGGAAGGAAAACAATCCTAAAAAAAAAAAACAAAAAAACAAAACAAAAAAACCCCAAACATGACTTTTATGAAAACTTAAATGAATGCATGGAGCCAAATTTTAAACATATCTCCTTCCCTAAGGACAGGAGTAGGTGTAAACTATGAATTTCATGTAGTGATTTGTGTTCAGGTACCACTCTGATTTTGCTGAGGATGAACTCTTGCTCCTGAGCAGAATAAATTGAGAGGATATCACCCCGTAGCCAGCCGCAGAGAAACGCAAAGTCTTCCCACTGGGCAGGGTGGGTGTGGAAGAGGTACTCGGCATTCTGGTAGAAGAACCAGGGCGCATCTGCAAGGGAACCAGATGTGGACCGTGTCAAGACTAGTGAGAGATAGAAGGCAGGCGCGAAGGGGCATGGGCTGTGGCTGACACCCACAGTAAATTGTAATTTGGTCACTTGGCATTTTAAAGAAGGGCGTAAATACGGATGGACACATGCACACACGTGCACATACACATAAAATTTGCTTACTTCCTTAGTCTACCTCACTTGAGACCCCTCGCTAGTTTTCAAAGGTCAGGGATAGATACATATCTTAAAATAATATGCCATGAAGATGGAGTTATGATGTTAATTTTCAACCCTACTTAATGAGTGTACTTATCACATGGACTATGCCTTCTTGATCTGTTAATTTGAACAAATCAGCCCAGGTTGATATATAAGAAAACAAACGCTATGGGAAGGATAAGACAATGCAGTTTTACTCTCTGCCCCCCCCCCCCGCCCGTGCTGTGTATTTAGAAGCTTGAGACTTGCCAGGTGGGCTCTTACCGTATTCGTACCAGTCTGGAAAAGTGGGTACCACACCTGCAGAGAGAAAGCAAAGCATTGCCACTGAGCCTTCTGCATAGGCTCAGTGTCTGAACGACCTCCCTCTAACCACGCCGCTCCTATGTCACCTTAAAACGTAACTTTAAGGACAGACACTATACTGTGTAGACTCTGTGAGGACTTCCACCATGAAGGGGACTCTCCAGAGGGTCTAAAGAAAGGACATGGACACTTGCTGGAGGTAACTGCGGGTCACTCACTGTGCAAGGTGCTTCCATGCATTCACCGTATAGGTAATGCTGTGTGCTTGTAACGTCAGGGTGGTATCTCTGTCACCTGTGCCACCATGTCAGCTGGTGACCTTCATTCCTAATGAACAGCTCGGCACAGGGTACTGCGCTGTCTTCTCTCCTTTGCCTGTTATCCCTGCTTACTACACTGGAGTAGCTGGATCCATCAGGTGGGCTGTCAGTCGTGTGGCTCACGTTCTAGTGCTGAGATGTCGCCTCTCTGTGACTATCATCTGAGAAAGCGCTACACATCGTTAAAACTCAAATATACAGTAAAGGTCTGATACCTCTTGGGATTTTGCATATCCACTCATGTTTGGAAGCACAGTCCGTGGGCAGCAATGTTTTGTTTGCCTTATACACAGCACAGTTTCTTGCAGCATCTTCAGAGTAAGTACTGTCTAGAAATGAAGACACAACCTGCAACAGATGAAGCTTGTTATTCCTTAATGATGGTCCCCCAAAGGAGATCAGAAGATCAGCGAAGGCATCTGTGAATGCAAGTGCTAGGGCAGCGGTTCTCAACCTGTGAGTCACGAACCTTTTGCAGGGTCCAATGACCCTTTCACGAGGGTCACTCAAGGCCATTGGAAAACACAGATATTCACATTGTGACTCATAGCAGTAGTGAAATTACAGTTAGGAAGTGTCAGCAAAATAATGTTATGGTTGGGAGTCACCACAACACGAGGAACTCTGTTTAAGGGTTCGAGTGTTAGGAAGGCGGAGAACCACTGCTCTTGGGACTTCAGAGGGATCTTCAGAAACGTCTGCATGTCATTCCAGGGTTAGACAGTCCACATTTGTGATGACTAAGCTAATGGGTACTTAGCATTTTTTTCTTCTCTCTCTCTCTCTCTCTCTCTCTCTCTCTCTCTCTCTCTCTCTCTCTCTCCTTCCTTTCCTTTTCTCTCTCTTTTTGTTTTACAAAGAAGCATGAGGGCTGGGGGTATGAGGCAGCTGGTAAAGTGCTTACTGCACAAGTATAAAGACCCAAGCTCAGAATGCAGTTCCCATATTATTATTATTTTTTTTTTAAAAAATCCAACATTGCAGCATGTGCCTTCTATCCCAGCACTGTGGAAGTGAAGATAAGAACTGTGGACTGTCTGGCCAGCCAGTGTAGTCCAATCGGCAAGTACCAGGTTTACTTGGAGGTCCTGTCTTAAAAAAATATAGAGAGTGATTGAGGAAGATGCCAATATTGGCCACTGGCTTCCGCACACGCGCAAATATGCACATGCGTGCACACATTTTTCTATTGTTTTCTCCAGAAGAAATCAGATGCTTGCTTCATTCTGAACTTGCGATGTGTGGTGGTTCAAATGAAAATAGGCCCCATAGGCTCATAGAGGGGCACTATTAGGAGGCGTGGCCTTTTGGAGTAGGTGTGGCTTTGTTGAAGGAAGTGTGTCAGTGGAGGGTGGGTTTTGAGGTTTCAGAAATCCAAGCCAGGCCCAGTGTCTCTTCCTCTTCCTGCTGCTTGCCAATCCAGATACAGAACTCTCAGTTCCTTCTCCAGCACCATGTCTGCCTGCATGCCGCCATGCTTTCTGTCATGATGATGATGGACTAACCCTCTGAACTGTAAGCCAACCCCAATTAAATGTTTTCCTTTATAAAAAGCAGCTATTTTTCTGAATGGGAGGCAGTTTAGGGGAGCATTTTTGGAGATTTGGATTTCTTCTCAGGTCTTAGAACAGTACGGTCACCCTGGGTTTCCTAGGACCAAGGTACAATCACTGTCACGGCCAAGACTTAATGTAAGTTTGCCCGGGTGCTACAGCCGCTTCCAGGCTCTCTTGGTTGTTTTACCAAGTGGGTCCGGGACCACCTGGCTTGACTTCATGTCCCGTGTGCAGTTTGAAAAGACTTACAGGCGTCCTGTCAGACCACTCCCAGGAACCGGCATTCAGGGGGTTCCTTTTATTGAATCCTATCCAGAACTGCCTTTCTTCTGTCCTAGGAAGAGAAGAAATAAGAGTTTTGCCTTTCCAATCTCATTCCCGACATTAGATGAAAGATTCTAAGATATGGAAGAAACACTCACGTGAACAGGAAAGAGCTGATGCTAAGTGGCAGGATTGGGCAGGTTGGCATAAATGGGTCAAACATTGTTTTATATGTAAAAACCTGTGCTATAAGATGAGGGGTGACATCTAGACTCACGCGCTCCTGTGTGGCTTGCTCCAGGCTCCTGCACAATGAGGAGTGTGATGGTTTGAATGAAAATGGACCCCAAAGGCCCATAGGGAGTGTCTCTGTTAGGAGGTATGGCCTTGGAGTAGGTGTGGCCTTGATGGAGGAACTATGTCACTAGGGGTAGACTTGGAGGCTTCAGAAGCTTAAGCGAGGCCCAGTGTCTCATTCTCTTCCTGCTGCCTGCCGAGGAAGACATAGAATTCTCAGCTAATTCTCTAGGACCATGTCTGCCTGCATGTCACTAATGCTTCCCACTATGATGATAAAGGACTAAAAACCTCTGAACTGTAAGCCAGCCCCTATTAAATGATTTCCTTTATAAGAGTTATGGTGATTACTGTGTCTCTTCACAGCAATAGAAACCCTAAGACAGGGAGAATAATCGATTTATATTGAGAACATGAGCCTCTCACAGGAATGGAAATGTCTTCCAATCAGGTCATGAGCACACGAAAACAAGCTGCTAGGAAATCCCAGAACACAGTCTCTCTGGATGACTTTAACTGCTGCACTATTTACTACTTCATTCTGCTTTCTGTGCTATTTTACTATGGTTCGATGTGTGGCTCTTCTATCAACTGTTTGTGTATTTTCTGCAAGTTGATCCCTGTCGTCCCCATGTAATAAAAGGTACACAGAAGGTTTGTAGATTTTTTTCCCCAGTCTCCAACATAAAGAACTCTGTGGTAAATCAGCCTGGGCCATGGTAGATTAACTTGGGCAGTCACCACTGGCTTAGACTTGGCAAAAAGCTTCCCAGAGAACCATCGTCTCTTCTATCAGGCAGAGAACAAATATGTCAAATTGCAGAGCCCTCAATAAATCAAGCAATAAAGCCTAATTGTATGATGAACCATCTCACTGAGATAATTTTCTGAGAATAATTTTGAAGAATTAAAGATTTAAGAGACTCAGAAGTTGTGACAGATACTTTCCCCTGCTTAGCACAGAGAAGCGCAATCCTTCTGCAGGGTCGCTCCTCACACGTGAAAGACAGGGACCAAAGTCAAGTGCAGGCCAGAGCAGCTGAGGTCGCTGGTGCCTAGGAGACCACTGATGATGCCAAACTTCTAAGAATGTGAGGGCCACCTCTTGAAGGTCAGGCATCTGTCTCCACAGCACAGGCTAGAAACCAGCCTTGCTCTCCCTACACTGGGAGTGTTTCATCTATTTCCCCACTGATTTCAGCGTTCTCAGTTGTTCCTGCTCTACTGGCTCACGGAAGACAAATTGATATTTATTTTCTCTCTACTCATTTCCTCAGTTGTGTAATTTTTAAACAACACACATTTGACACAGCTGAATTCCCTCGGTAGCGTGGGCAAAAATAAAGCATACATTATACAACTTCTGTACTTAGATGCTGAAGATCAATAATTTGGAAGATGCTCAGAATTCTACCAGGAATTTCAAGTGTGGACCCTTATTTAGCCAGAAAGCACATTGTTATATTTGATTATGTTGAAGGGAAATCGCTTATGACCTGATGTGTGGACAGAATATATAAGCATATCCTCGCAAGGGATTAAAGTGTCAAAGCACAACAGAACATGGGACAGTGGAAGGTGGAAGGTGCCCCCATAGCTGCAAACAATCCAGCCAATGGGGAAGCTTCTTTGACACCAGTCTCATGAAGTCTGAGATGGCCTAGAGGGCTCTGTATCCCAAGATGCCCAGGATGTAGGTTCTGTCTGGAACCAAGGGGTCAACCAGTGGCTCCTGTAGGGACTAGCAGTTCTATGGGATGTTAAGAAGCATATTCAAGAGGGAAAAAAGCATTTTGCAGAGAAAGAGCTAGAAGCCTCCACAATACTAATTACATACCATATTTCTAATGTTGTACGTTGTTTTTTAATTTATCTGGTCCCTCTGATACTATATCCCCTACCCCCTCTCAAAGAACAGTAACAATATCCCCTCCATCAAACCTTTCCCTCATGGAATTACTCTAAGACTCACACTTGTTCTCATCTGCAAGGTTATTTTGTAAATGCTAAAGGTGAATAATTTGATGGTTGTTACATATTCGCTTATGGAAGTGCCCTATGAAGCCATTAGGTTTCTTACAATTTAAACTTAGTTAATAGTGTTGGGAATTTAGCTCAGTGGTGGAGTACACAGGCCCTGGGTTTGACCACTAGAAGAAAAATCCCCAGAAACAAACCAATAACCAACCAACCAACCAACCAACCAACCAACCAACCAACCAATCAACCGAAAACTACATTTCTAAGTTCACCAGCATGGACATTCAAATAATTGATGCACCCTGATACGTAAACATAGATCCTTATTCAAATACACAATTAGAGAGCTAGACTGGACTTTGTTTTAAATTGTTGGAACTTCCCTCCCCAGCAAAATCTTCACTGAACTCTCACCTGTATCTCATCAGTCAAATGAGATTGTGTTTTCTGGGGAGCTAGCAAGCAAGGACCTGGAGCTCTGTCCAAATGGTCCCTTTCACTCCAAGACAAGACTTTGAAATTCACCAACCCAGTTACCGCTGGCAACAAAGCTCTAAAAATCTGACTGAAGACACACGAAACTATTCTGGATATCCAATGCGCAACATGAACTTGATGCCATATAGACATAAAACTGTACGGGGATATAGTTTTTCTTTCACAGGTTGTGACCAGCTATTTTTTAGGCATGAGACAAACACTTGAGGTTTTAACAACCACTTGGGATACTCATCCCCCAAGAAGCCACGACTAGCAGACAATTTTTGACTCTGATTTCCCCAGAATTAGTAAGGGTTTACCGGTTAAATTTTGAGTGTAGAAGCTCATTCACAAACTCTTCTTCCTCGATATGGGCAAAACTTGCCAACTGAGCTCCGAACTCCTCGCAGAAGAATTCTGCTTCTCTCCATGATCTTTTCATCAGGACCTTTTCACTGTGAAACACCTGCAGGGCAACAAAACCAGAGTAAGGCTGCCAAGTTCTGCTTAAGGTTGTTTTCTTTCTTCTTTTGGGGGGTGTGAAGGGCAAGAAATGGAAGGCTTTTTGCAGGCTAAGCACACACTCTTTCCACTGAGCCAGACTTCTGCCCCTTCGTTATTCTTCATTGAAATTTTGATCTGAAGAGGTAACACATACCCTCCTTGGCTTCTTTTTCGCTAAACCTCTTATGGCAGAGATAGAGTTTTCTCTTAATAAATGTCTGTCAAGATATGAAGAAAGTCATGCCAAGAGACATTGAACACCTAGATACCTGGTTTAGACCCAGGACTCCTTGTCTCCAGAAGCTAGCATTTTCATTAAGGCAGCCTGTCTAGGAACCAGTTAGAATTTATGGAATGACAATGAAGTTGGGGGATCCATCACAGGCAAGGAGACATAAGGTCAAAGACTCAGAGCAAGCCTGTTTCTAGGGTCTCTGTGTCTTTGCTGAGCTGGCAGCTCCATGGTGTGTCTCTAAATTCTCTGCTAGTCCTTAGCTGTTATGGTAACAGGAAGCAGTTGCTTGGTTGGAGCTTCTGCTTTTGTCCAATTTGGGGCCCCTGCACCCTTGCTGTTTGTAACTGAGGTCATCAAGCGTTACCCTCTGATGCTGCAGGGACACTCTACGGCCACCTTTTGCCAGGCTCTGATTTGCTGAGACCAGAACGAATGCCTCTCCAAGTCCTGTGAACCACAGCACAGCCTTTCCATCTTTTAAATTATATGTCAAAACTTGCTTCCTTGGGGAACCTCCCCCCGAATCTCTCAAAATTCATGAATCCTACCACCACGCACATCAAGCACACTGTGCCTTTGCTGACACATCAGGGGATGGACAGTAAAGCTACACTGTACTGGGAGTCCCAAGACCAGGGATTGATTCCAAGGCTGTCAACAAATAATTGCGATTTTGTGCAAATCACTCCATCATACCGGCCTCGGTTTACTCAGCTCTGAAGTTTAACTTATTGCTCCGTGACATCACGGCTGGGCCTTTTGCTTATGAATTTTATGTAGGGATTTCAATTTAACCAGAGTAAATCCACTTGTGCTTCCTGCTATGTCTGCACCACAGTATTCTGGGGAATACTGCCTGTCTTCATCCTGTGTGTGCCTGGCTGATGGGGAAGAACTTTTTCCACGGATGTGAAGAATTGCTACCTGAAGAATGAATCAAGAGAAAACTGCCAAACATAAGAGTAATTTTTTAAATGTATGTATTTCTAGTAAGAAGGTTGCAAGAACTGATTTAGATTTAGGCTCTGAAGCTGATTTGCAAACAGACATTTCTTCAAGAATTTCACTTTTATATCACATGTACATCTCATGTGTAGCATGAATAATAAAAACCCAGAGACAGATTGGGGTTCAACCTGAAGATCAGAAAAGCAAAGCAGCTAGAGAGCTCTCACCTCTATGAAATCTTCAGACTGAAAGAGAGCGAGTTCCTGTCTCATCCCGCCTTATATTCCTTTCTAGTGCTAGATTAGAGGCGTGCACCACCACCGTCCAGCCTCTGTCTAACTAGTATGGCTGCTGGGATTAAAGGTGTGTGCCACCACTGCCCAGCTTATATGGCTGACTAGTGTGGTTGCTTTGCACCGACCTTCAGGCAAGCTTTATTTATTAAAGCACAAATAATATGCTACAACTAATAAGGCTGAACATTCTCAATCTGGGTTCTAAAATATGGAACTCTGGGAGTGACATCCTCACTTTCTGACTGTCATAGGTAGGTAGACCATTTCATGTTCCAAACATTGCATAAAACGACTGCCAGGCTATGTGTGCATAGTGTATGTGAAACAAATGAATTTTGTGTTTAGACTTACGTACAAACCCCATAATATCTCATTATGTATATGTAACTATCAACACCTTAAACCCAAACTCTTCTTGCTCTGAGCATTTACATATGTGTGTGTATGTGTACATCAACTGTCTGTATTACTTTGCTTGATCTTCAGGGGTCTAGCAGGCAGGCTTTTTTTAAAAAAAATATTTATTCATTATGTATACAATATTCTGTTTGTGTGTCTGCCTGCAGGCCAGAAGAGGGCACCAGACCCCATTACAGACGGTTGTGAGACACCATGTGGTTGCTGGGAATTGAACCCAGGACATTTGGAAGAGCAGGCAATCCTCTTAACCTCTGAGCCATCTCTCCAGCCCTAGCAGGCAGGCTTTAAAGTCTATCTTTAGTATAAGAATTATTTCATAATAAGTACTTTATGTATGGGCTTACAAACAGTACAGAACGGCACCATTCTAATACCCACTGAGTGCTGGCTTCACTTATTCGGTATATGTTGGCAATATAAGCAGGATTGACTAGTATCTTTGTGTTGGGAGCAATGAGACCCCAGATCCTGAATTTCTTGTAATCCTTTGATCTGAGTGCCTACAGCTGCTCTGAGCACGAGACCTTCAAGAATTCCTGATGGCAGGAGAGTGGTTTCTGGTGGGTTTGGCTGGGGCGTGGCTATCTCTATATAATCTGCCCCTGAACACAATAAAGGGGGCATTCTTGGGGAATTCAAGGATGTCCCGTGTCGCTGTCTCTTTGTCTGTGTGTGTCTGTGTATTTTAACCTCCAGCCCCCTTGCCCGAAGCTCGGTAACTGGGTGCCAGCGCACAGAGCGCAGACACGGGGGCGTGGTGCTAGGCATCTTTGTTCTTATTATAGGAGGACAATTCCATTAATGACCATGGCTGGCCTTGCTTTCCTCTTCCTTGATTGCAATTTTAGTCCAGAGCGTGTGGAGAATGCAACACCCTGAGGAAAGGAGGAACTGTCCTGTCCCTCCCAGAACAGGAGGAGGTTCTGCGGTGTTTTATTCCAGCGGATCTATGTGGCTCGTGAGGCACGAAGGCCAGAGAAGGGGGCTTTCCTGAGCCTTGAGAGACAGGCTGTCTAGGATCCTAGGATTCTACGGTTTCTTTTGCCTATCTGTGAACAGTAAAGTTGTTTTGCCTTGAGCTGTGGGCCTGTTCTGCCATCCTGGACTTGGACTCTGGTAAGTGAGATTGCTCAAAACCTTCCCGCCAGTTCTAAGGACTGGTCAGGCATTTAGAGCCCTTTCCTAGGGCTGATGGCCAGTGCATAGGGTCCTTTTCCTTGGGTTCAGTACTGATGCATGGTATTTCTGCCTTCAGTGACACTGGGGACATATGCCAATTTTTTTTGGTATTTAGAATTTGTTGGAATGTAAACATAAGGAGAGAGAGGCAATAGATACTGACTGTACCAGGCACTTGTAAGAAAGAAATCTTAGAAAAGAAAATAGGGATCCATGGACCAAATGAATATGGCAGATAGCCTTGACGTTCGTTACCTTGAAGCAACTGGCTAGACCAGACTTCGACTCCCAATCCGCATAGCATTTGCGAAAGGGCCACCTTCTTTCGAGCTCTGTTTTATCCCAGGTTTTGACTGGCATCTTACACAGGGACATTGCCTTAAAGTTGCTGCAATCCTTCACTTCCCAGCGACCAAGTGGACTTCCTCCTCGCATGGCAACGCAGCCACCACTGTAGCCTAAAAACAGAAGTCAAGCATTTTAATATGCGATGATCATAACATTTTGTGCTCCAAAGACATCTCTCCGGAGTGTTGAATAATCGACACGCCATAATGAAGCACCGGAGAAGAACAATGAAGATGAAAAAGGACGCTTGATTGGCACCATTATCTCGCTTCTCTTCATCTCTGGAGAGAAGAACAGAAAACAGAACCAGGAGAGAAAAGAAGCTGTGGAGCCTGAAATTTGGACATTGTCTGCTTTGAGCTCTGATGGTAAATGATGGGAAATGAGGTGCTGCTCTGATGTGGAGCCCAAGAATGCCCCACTGCTCGGGGACTTACTTTGCAGCCACACTACGAACATCACGATGCCAAGTGCACAGGGCCCATCCCCTGAGAGTGAGGTGCACCAGGGCAAGCTAGTCACATGAATAATGGATTCAAGGCAGACAAGAAACAGAACAAAGACCCAGATTCTAAGCTACCCACCGTGGAGAATGGGGAAAATGAGGTAGACTCTTTTTATTTTATTTTATTATTGATTTTTATTGAGATCTATATTTTTCTCTGCTCCCCTCCCTGCCTTTCCCCCTCCCCTTCAATTCTCTCCCAAGGTCCCCATGCTCCCAATTTACTCAGGAGAACTTGTCTTTTTCTACTTCCCATGTAGATTAGATCCATTTATGTCTCTTTTAGTGTCTTCCTTATTGTCTAGGTTCTCTGGGATTGTGATTTGTAGGCTGGTTTTCTTTGCTTTATGTTTAAACACCTCTATGAGTGAGTACATGTGATAATTATCTTTCTTGGTTTGGGTTACCTTACACAAAATGATGTTTTCTAGCTCCATCCATTTGCCTGCAAATTTCAAGATGTTATTTTTTTTTCCTTATTCATTCTTCGGTCGAGGGGCATTTAGGTTGTTTCCAGGTTCTGGCTATGACAAACAATGCTGCTATGAACATAGTTGAACACATGTCCTTGTGGTATGATTGAGCATCCTTTGGATATATACCCAAAAGTGGTATTACTGGGTCTTAAGTAAGGTCTCCTGTGCCAATGCAATCATGTGTACTTCTCACTTTCTCTTCTACGAGGTCCAGTGTGGCTGGCTTTATGTGAGGTCTTTGATCCATTTGGGACTTAAGTTTTGTGCATGGTGATAGATATGGATCTATTTTCATTCTTCTACATATTGATATCCAGTTATGCGAGCATCATTTGTTAAATAGGTTTTCTTTTTTTTTCCATTTGATATTTTTTGGTTCTTTGTCAAAAATCAGGTGTTGGAAGGTGTATCCGGGTCTTCAATTCGGTTCCATTGGTCCTCCTGCCTGTTTTTATGCCAATACCAGACTGTTTTCAGTACTGTAGCTCTGTAGTAGAATTTGAAGTCAGGGATCGTGATACCCCCCAGAAGTTCTTTTATTGTACAGGATTGTTTTGGCTATCCTGGTGTTTTTGCTTTTCCGCATGAAATTAAGTACCATTCTTTCGAGGTCTATGAAGAATTTTGCTGGGATTTTGATGGGTATTACATTAAATCTATAGATTGCTTTTGGAAAGATTGCCATTTTTACTATGTTAATTTTACCTATCCAAGAGCATGGGAGATCTTTCCACTTTCTGGTGTCTTCTTCAATTTTTTTTCTTCAAAGATTTAAAGTTCTTGCCTGGCGGTGGTGGCGCACGTCTTTAATCCCAGCACTTGGGAGGTAGAGACAGGCGGATCTCTGTGAGTTCGAGGCCAGCCTGGTCTACAAGAGCTAGTTCCAGGACAGGAACCAAAAACTACGGAGAAACCCTGTCTCGAAAATCCAAAAAAAAAAAAAAAAAAAAAAAACCAAAAAACAAACAAACAAAAAAACCCCAAAGATTTAAAGTTCTTGTCATACAGGTCTTCCACTTGTTTGGTTAGAGTTACTCCGAGATATTTTATATTATTTGTGGTTATTGTGAAGGGTGGGATGTCTCCTGGATGGAACTTCTAATTTGGAGCCTTGAGGCTGGAATTCTGGTCTCAGCACAAATATTTAATAACTTAACATTTGAGTGGATTAATTAACTACAATAAGTCTCATTGAAAGAGATAATTCCTTTCCTTCTCACGGGTCCTCATGAAGATCAAATGAAATAATTACTAAAAAGGACTTCGTGAAACAGAAAGTTAAAACCATCCCTAAACTTCTTATGGGCATTTTCATTACAAAACTTTTTTTTTTTTTTTTTTTTTTTTTTGGTGACACAGGTTCCGCTGTGTGTTCAAGAATTCTTAAAAGGTTTGAATCAGCAAGTTAACAGTAATACTTTTTTCGTTGGCCTTGCATTTTGCCTCGCTTCTCCACATTAGACAATGATTAACTAGCTATGGTTTTAGATGCTGTGGATATTCAAGTCGTCTTCATTAGTGAGGAAGGAGATGTTTGTGGCCCACCGCGAGGATGAGAAGTCCTGTGGGAGTGTTATTGGTATTCTAAAGTGGCTCACTTAATGTATCATTTGACCCAAATTTTAACATCTCAGCCCCAGAGAAGCAGTAAAAAGTGTAATAAAGGGAGGCTGGGCAAAGGGGGATAGAAAGGGAATTTGTAAGTCAGCTCATGGGGAAGCTTGCCAGGCCAAATAATAAGGGAAGGGTAGAAGGGCAGAGGCAGGTTTCTCCCAAAGAAACTGCTCTTCCATTGGATAACTCCGTTCCTGTTGGAGAAGGTAAGCGGTCATCCTTTTCATTGGCGAACCCCAAATCTCACGTTTCAATGACTCTCTTGACCCATCTTTTCTCCCTCTTCCCCTTCACCATCTCCCTTAAACATCAGCAGAAAAACTTTCCGTAATTAAGATATTATAACTCACGATTCTAGACTTTTCCATGTGAAAGCTGTCACCTGTGACCTCTCTGGTCCAATTCTTAAATATAAACAAACTAATCAAGACATTTGTGGTATCAGGGCAGGGCAGAACTACGCTGGGCCGTGGTACCACTAGACCATTATTTTACTTGGTCTGCCCAATTACTTCCAGTTTCTTTCCACAATTCTCTCATCTTCAGATGGAAAAATTGAGGTACAAAGATTTTAATGATCTCCACAGGCCAGAGTTAGTGATCCTAGCCTGAAAACGAGACTTATCTGCGTCTAAGCATGAGGTGGCACTGAGGCCTGGAGATGTAATCAAGACACAGCCGCCAGGGGGAAAGAGTTCTCTCGGGTTATGGCCTCCATGCTGTTGCTTAACTCTTCTCAACTTGACGTGAACTGTGAGGAGGGAGCCTCAGTTGAGGACTGACCTCCAACAGATAGGCCTGTGTCATGTCTGTGGGGCATTTTATTGATTGCTAATTAATACAGGAAGGCCCAGTCCACTGTGGGTGATGGCATCCCTGAGCAGGTGGGCTGGGCTATAAAAGAAAAGTAGCTGGAGGGAACAAGCCAGTCAGCAGTGTTCCACCACGGTCTTCGCTTCAGTTCCTGGCTCTGGGTTCCTGTCTTGAGTTCCTTGATGATGGACTGTGGTGATTATTTGGTAAGCCAAATAAACTCTTTCCTCCGAAGTTGCCTTTAAGTGTTTTAAAAAGGTTATTGAGACCTAGCTTCCTCTTGTACCGAGCTCCCCCTGGCTCCAGTCCCCTCTCCCTCCCCCACAGCATGACTCCCTCCCTACTGGCCACAGGATTCCTTGTAGAACTCCTGTCATGGGTCACCTTGTTTGACTCTAAAGAGACCTGGAACTGTGCTCAGAAACAAGACGGAGGACATCCTCCGTGTAGGAGGTTTCTTTTCAGAATCCAGAGGCGCCTCAAGCTCGATTGTCCCGATTGTTGATTGATGCGACAGGTTTCCCAGCCCTCACTGTAAAGGGCACTGCTAAGCAAACAAGTCTGGCCTGCTTTGCTGCGATACAGCTGCCCTGAACTGGCAGATTACCCCTGATTTGGAAGAACTGGTTTAGCACAAATTCTAGTTGGTTTTAATAATAAAAACCTGCATTCAGATATAGGCATTAGTGCTGGCAGATAAGAGAAGCAGAGTGGCCAGCCATTAGAGAGTTCTTACCTCTACAATGCTCAGACCAAAGGGGCAATCCTGTCCTCAGACTGCATCCTCAGATTGCAGTGAGCACCTGTCTCCTCTTGCCTTAGATTCCTCTCTCGGCCTACCACATCTCTTCCTGTCTCTACCTCCCTAGTGCTAGGATTAAAGGTGTGTGACTCCCAAGTACTGGGATTAAAGGAGTGAGCACCCACTACTTGGCTCTGTTCCTCCTCTTTTAGACTTGATCAATTTCGTGTAGTTCAGGGTGACCTTGAACTCACAGAGATCTGTCTGCCTCTGTCTCCTGAGTGCTGGGATTAAAGGTGTGCGCCACCAATGCCTGGCCTCTATGGCTAACTAGTGTGGCTAGCTCTGTGCTCTGATCTCCAGGCAAGCTTTATTTGTTAGATAATAAATAAAATATCACCATAAACTGGGGCCCTGGCTGGCAGACATCGATGGCAGAGAGTTACTTTTGTGTAGAAATATCCCAGCTGTAAATGAAGACACTCCTGGTAGGCCAGGGGATGTTGTTTGCTAGTAGATCACATGCCTATTAGGAGACCCCGAGTTTAATCCCCTAACCAAAACAAACAACAACAAAACCCCAACTCCACCGAATCAATGAATCTTCATATTGCTCGTCAAATATGCCCTCTCACCACAAAGAGAAAACTGGGGATTGTGTTACTTTATATAGAACAAACAACTACCTAAAAAATAAAATTTTCTAAAATAAAATAAACCTCAATTTTGATGAGGTCTTTGGTGAACAATGAAATATAGACATTAGAAAAATTTATAAGATGAATAGCCTCTTAAATTAGTAAATATACTTTAAAAGAAAAAAAGGGATGGATAGAAAATCTAGACATTACAATAAACTTTAGGGGACTTTATTGACCAATTGCAGTGTGCAAATGTTATTTGGGTCCTCATTCAAACAAACCTTAAAATATATTATATAGTAGTTAAAATATTTGTGGGGGGCTGTATAATTTACATATTTGGGTATTAACTGATAAAAATGTTCTTGACAGAGAAGGCCTCTATTTTAGTGATAATACTACAACACATGTGGATGAAACAATCATGTCTTTCAAGAAAAGACTCAGACAGGACTGAGGTTAGTGTTGAGACAACACTTACCATGGCTCAACAATTGCTTGGTGCTTCATCATAATACTCAATGAACATAAGACAAAGTTGGGGGAAAAAATGACTGAACTGTGATTTCACCGTGGGTTGGCCATCTTGTAGGCATGCCTTAAGGACAGACTTGGCAGAATTTATTAAAAGCTTTGGGCTTCCTGTTCAGTGGTCAATTTAGGTAGTCAATTTATGCTGGATTAAGAGTCTGACACGGGGCCTGAGCTAATGGATTCTTTTGTGACAGGCAGGAGAGGAGAGGCGATTTACAGTGGTGTTTCGACAAGCTGCACTTTAAAAGGGAACAGAGAAACACAGGGGCTTTTATATTGCCATTTTTCTCCAGAAACGATTTACATTTTCGTCTTTTTCAGAGACAATTTACTCTATGTCAGTCAGTCTGCACAGCCACGCTGAGCATCACAGCGTTAGTTTTGCTTCAGGGAAAAGAGAGAGAGTAATGCCACTCAAATAAATTACCGCAGAAACTTATGAATGACAAGGCGCTCGGCTTCGTTTCCGGATTTTAGACGTCTAAATATGCCCTGAGGAAGCTAGCATGGAAAACCAAAAATGTCGTCTGCTCAAAATGTATTAATTTATTTTGACAGGTATAGACACTCCTCACCAAATTCCACGGGATAGAGACGCGATCCCGAGTGATTCCCTTTTAACTGCACAGTGACACAGAGCTGTGCTGCTCTCTGTTGAGCAGTGGGGCTCTGAGCGCAGAACGAGGAGACTGTCCCGCTGCTCCGGCTGGGGTGCTTCCTCTCTCTGAGTTGTGGCAAGTTGACAGTCTCCATACAGATTTCTTAAATCGGTGCTTACACACACACACACACAC